GTGCCTGTCTTGGGGCCGGGTGGAACAGCTCTTGTGTGCCCCTTGCCCACTTTGACAGTGTGTCTCTGGGACTTGCAGGACCTGATGAAGAAGTATTACTCGGGCATGCCTGTCTCCCCAGTGCCTCTCAAGGTGGTTCTGGCCCTGGAGCAGCTGAGGTAAGGGCTGAGGTTGCAAGTCAGGATGGTGATCCCCATTTTGGGTAGCTCCTGAGGGCCCGGAGGGGTCGGGGGGGAGGAGCCACATCTACAGGAGAGACGGCTGGGCTGTTGTGCGCAGCAAAGCTGAGGTTTGGGGCAGGGAGCAAGGCCCTGGTGCTCCTGTCCCCTGGCAGGGAAGAGAAGGGAGAGCTGGGGTCTCCTTCCCTCCAGAGCGGGAGGTGGTTCACTGCTGCCGGGGAGGAGGTGGGCGCTGCTGGAGCTGAAGGCAGTGCTCAGCAACATGAGCTGGGTGGGGGTATTGGCTTTGTAGCTGTCAATTAGGAGAAACTCAGATGTTGTCTGAACCAGTCTGGAGAGGTAAAGAGCCTTTCTGATTTCTCTCCTGTTTTCCTCCTCTCAGCAAGCTGAAGCCCTCTTTCGAAAGCAAAGACATGCGTGAGATGTTGGTCCTGTGCTGCAAGAACATCGTGACACACCCTTCAGCAGAGAAGATGCTGAAGATCAGGAAGTCACAGCAAGCAGCACAGTACCTGCAGGTAACCTGCCGTAACTTTCCCGGCCACCTCTCGGTCGGAACCCTACATACCTCAGCACACACAGCCTCTGCTCTGGCAGCAGCCGTGATGCTACACGTCACTCCCGTCTTCTGCTTTCAGCTTCAGCAAACAGCACTGAAAGCTCTGGGCCGGCTCATGGTGGTCCTGCTGGAGACAGAGCCCAGCGGCGGCTTCTTTCAGAACATAGTCCATGTGAGTACTCGTGGGGCAAGGGAGAAAGCATGGTGCCTGTCAATAGCGGGGGCAGAGATCTGGGGACTGAGAGGAGGATCAGAGGGGGAGAAATCTCCTGCTGACGTGCCAGCTCACTGCGAGCTGAAATGGGCAGAGAAATGGGCCCTGCAGGGGGAAAGCAGGAGCCAGCCCCTGGAGGCCACAGCCGAGGAAAAGCTCCTGGGTTAGGAGGCAGGAGTGACTGCAGAGAGCGGGGCGGCAGTGCCGGTGCTCAGTGAGGCAGGAGGCCACATGGAGCAACAGGGCAGGCCCTAAGGGAAAGTGCTGGGAAAGGAGGGACAGGGAGAGGGGTGGCAGGAAGGGAAAGAAAAGACATCCTCAGTGAGACAGATGCTCTACCCCAGGTCCTGCAGAAATGCATGGTATCGAGCAACGTGTGGGAGCGCGAGAGGGCCCTGCAGACCTGCTCCCAGCTGCTGTCTGTTTGTGAAGAGCTTCAAGTGAGTAAAGAGCCCCACCGCATGCCCCCTGCTCCCTCCCCAGCGCCCCTGAGCTGGAAGGCGAGCTCTGCCCAGCTGTGCATGCTGTGTCACGGTGGGAAGGCACAGATGGGAGAAGCTGGGGAGAGCTGGGGCCATCTACAGCTTTGTTCCTGCCTCTCACCCCTGCAGAGAGGAGATGCCTGTGAGCACTTTGGCTCCTTGGTGGGATTGCTGGCGCCTCTGACTTGTGACCCCATGCCTGCATCCCGCCAGCTGGCCGTCACCTGTCTGAGCTCCCTTCTGCGAATCCAAGGTGAGTGGAGCAGGCGTGCTCCAGCCCTCTGCCCTCCTCCGTAGCACTACCAGAGCCCCACGGGCTGGGCCCTCTTGACAGGAGGGAGAGGCACCGTGCACAGCTCTCTTCTTGTCCCCACCCTGTCCTCTGTCTTTCCCCCGTGGAAAGCAGTTTCATTTCCAGAAGCGTGACTTCCCTTTTCTCTCTGTGCTCTTTCCAGCCAAAGCGACCAACACAGACATCGAGACGGGTGACATCAGGGGCCTGTGCGAGGGGCTGCACGCCTGCAGCATCGCCTCTCAGCTCCAGACCACATCCAAAATGGCCATGGTAAGTGGACCCAAGAAGAGGTGGTGTGATCTCTGTGTGTAGGCTTCTGCACGACCCTGTGCAGCTCCCAGCCTCTCACACTGTTTCCAAAATGAGCTGTTACCCTGAGCCCTGTTTTCTCAGCAAGTAGCAGGAGGCTCTGAGCTACGTCTGGCCTTCAGGCACCCAGTGCAAGGCTCTGACTCCATGATGTGCGTTTGTGTGTGTGAGTGCACTTGCATGCATGTGTGACTGTGGCTGCTGGGAGGTCGGCTTTGCATGTAAGCAAACACCATGGGTGCAGAAGCTGAGAGAAGGCTCAACCGCCTTCCGTATCAGCAGCAGGGTACAGACAGCTGCAGCAGAGCAGTGATGGGATCTCTCCCGCTTCTCATTTCTCTGCAGATCGTGTGCAGGAACTTCCCCCTAGAACGCACCGTTGACTTCATGACTGCCATCAAGGAGACGATCCGGAAAGCCAACGGAGTGCGTGTGCGTGCTGCTGGGAAGTGGATGACCACCTTCCTGCAGATGCACGGGAAGGACCTCAGTTGGAACGTAAGAGACTTTCTGCCACGTGTCTTGGACTTGTTCTGGCCATTGCACATGGCTAGGCCCTGCAGAGTGCAGGATGCAGCAAGTCATTCTTTCTCCCCTTCTTCTCTCAGGTGCCTCCGATCCTCTACATCCTGCGCAGCATCACCTCGTTTGCGCAGCAGAGCACGTTCCTGCCCTTCCTGTGCCAGGCGGTGGTCATCCTCACCCGCCGTCACACTGGGGCCGTAATGAACAACTTCTCCCGGCCGCTTGGGCCAACAGACAGGTACTGGCACTCCCGCCTTTGCTGTGCCTGAGGTCACAGTTGTAGCTGGCCTCTGCCAGAGGAATCCAGGGAGGAGGCAGCTTTGAGTCTGTTTGAGGTCACAAGTCACAACTTGAGACTCTCCTTTTTCTAGTGAGACGTGGAAAAGAATAAGAGAGTTTTGCCTTCAACGCTGGAGGCGGTAGAAGAACAAAGAGAAAGACAAAGAGGAAGAGGAAGGGAGGAGAAGGAGAAGCGAAGCGACGAGAAGCAAAGCGGAGAAGCGAAGAGAGAAGCGAAGCAAAGAGAGAAGCGAAGCAAAGGAAAGCGAAGAGATACCATTAATCACATAGAGAATTGTAATTGTAATTGAATTGTAATTGTAACACTATTATTATTAATATCTTTAATCATAAATAAAATCACTATTTATATTAATATTATTAATATAAAAATCTCTCTGCTAATGGGATTGTAAAAGCCAAATGGGAGGTGGCAAAAGTTCAGACACTCTTCCTTATCATAGCTGAATCAATTGGTTTGTTCAGAAATATGGAACAGACTCTAACATCTGCTTCGAGCATTTCCTGCCTCGGAAGAATCAGATCACATTATTCTTGGAAATCTAGAAATGATGGAGATTAATCATCAAGGGATGATTAGTTATGGCTCTGACCGGTGAAGGACTTCCTCCCCAAGATGGGCTGCTGTGATGGAAATGATGTTCCTTGAGTAACAGACCAACAGCAAAAAGCACAGAGAGCAGCACTGCAAACTGGTGAAGCTGGTTGCGTGGAGGGCTTCTATCAGAATATTCTGCAGTGGTTTTAAAGGTTTGTTTCCAACTGCTTGAGTTTCCATGTGCATCCTGAATGGCCAATATGTTCATCCCTCAGTCTGTCACTGGCAGGAGATGGTATGTGACGAGAAACTGGATGGGAGCAAGCAGGGTGCGCTTGCAGCCTGGAAAGCCAACTGTGTTCTGGGCTGCATTAAAACAGGGGAGGCCAGCAAGGAAAGAGAGATGGTAGTCCTCCTGTACTCAGCTCTTGCGAGGCCCCGTCTGGAGTACTGCATCCAAGGCCTGGGGCCCCCAGCACAAGAAATACGCAGAGCTCTTCTATCAGGTCCAGAGGAGGGCCGCTAAGATGATCAGAGGACTGGAACACATCTCCTACGAGGAAAGGTGGAGGAGACTGGGCTTGTTTAGCTGGAGAAGAGAAGGCTCTGAAGAGACCTCACTGTGCCCTTCCAGCTCTTGAATGGAGCATACAAACAGGAGAGGGAACGACATTTTACAAGGGTGGATATGATAGGACAAGGGGGGATGGTTTTCAACTAAGACAAAGGAGATTTAGGTTAGATATGAGGAGGAAGGTTTTCACACAGAGGGTGGTGACACACTGGAACAGGCTGCCCAGAGAGGTTGTGGATGCCCCATCCCTGGAGGCATTCAAGGCCAGGCTGGATGTGGCTCTGGGCAGCCTGGTCTGGTGGTTGGTGACCCTGCCCAAAGCAGGAGGCCTGAAGCTATATGATCTTCGAGGTCCTTTTCAACCCAGGCCGTTCTGTGATTCTATGATTCTGTGACATGTCTTTGCAACTGCATCTATCTCTCAAATACAACAGATACCAGCCACATGAGGCATATGTCTCCTGACGGGGAAATGTAAATAAAAAAGAAGACTTTTAACATGCAACTCAAGTAGAAGTATGCAATTATATCAATCCCAACATAAAGCTCTCAAAATCATTTCCATCTTGTGTAGGAGGCAGCTGGGATAGCAGGAAAAGCAGAACACAATACTTTAAAAATGGCTTCTTTAGTAATTTAATTGATTGATTGGGATACCAAGTCTTGGAGTACAAATCTGGTCAGAGAGCAGTAAAAGGGGGCAGGCAGAAGAATATACTCCACAACTTGAGACTCCCCTTTTTCTAGTGAGACGTGGAAAAGAATAAGAGAGTTTTGCCTTCATCGCTGGAGCCAGTAGAAGAACGAAGTGAAAGACAAGGAGGAAGAGGAAGAGAGAGAGAGAGGAGAAGAAGGAGAAGGCGAGGCGAGGCGAGGCGAAGAGAAGCAAAGTGAAGCGAAGAGAAGCAAAGCGAATAAGGAAGGGAAGGGCTAAAAAAAATTGTATTACTTATTAAAGATAAATAAATGCCAGAATCCTGGCTAAGATGTGAAAAGAGTATTTCTTTACCAAGTCTTCCTATTAATAGCTGCTGTCTCTTCTCCATACGAACGGCAGAATCACAGAATCACCAAACGACAGGGATTAGAGGGAACCTGGGAAGCTCCCCGAGTCCAATCCCCTGCCTGAGCAGGAACTCCTAGGTTAGGTCACACAGGAACTCATGCAGGCAGGTTTTGAATAATGTCTCCAGAGAAGGAGACCCCACAACCTCTCTGGGCAACCTGTTCCAGTGCTCCATCACCCTTACCATAAACAAGTTCTTGTGCATGTTAGTACAAATCTTCCTATGTACAAGGTTTAGGCCGTTACTCCTTGTGCTCTTGCTACACACCATCGAGAAGAGCCTGGCCTCACCCATTTGCCTCCCACCTTCCTTTAGATAGCTATAAATATTTACCAGATCCCCTCTCAGTGTCCTTTTCCCCAGGCTGAACGGAGCGCGGTTACTCAGCCTTTCCTCACATGGGAGGCCCCCACTCATCCTTGTGGTCGTCCTCTGCTGGACTCCTTCTAGGAGGTCCCTGTCTTTTAACTTAACTTAATTGAGGTGCCCAGAACTGGGCACAGCAGTGTAAATGTGGCCTCACCAGTGCAGAGCAGAGGGGGAGGATCACCTCCCTCAACGTGCTGGCCAAGCTCTTTTGATGCCAACATGCAGTTGGGCGATTCCACATGGGCCACTTTAACTTTCTGTCAGTTTCCAAGAAACTTGTTACAGAGACTGGTATTTTCAGGGACTGCTACTTGCTTGCATCCTGTGCAAGAAGGTGGTATGAGTGCCTAATTCACCTAGGCAGCTAGACACAGAATTTGATTTTAATAAAACAGACCTTCAATCTTCTCAGTTTCAGGCACCCTGGTCTGCTTGAGATGCAGATGTCACACATTCTCCAAAGAGATCACAAAGGAGAAAATGGTCTTTTGCCCACGCTTCAATCATTCAGCTTTTCAGTACACGTGGAACCTGGATTCCAGAGCTTCCTTACACAGATGTACCTGCAGAGGCATGTGTGGCAGAGAGTGGCAAGATACCAGCTTCTACTTTGTGCGAGAAGAGTCTGCTTCCTTCTCCATTCCTGGGGAGGCGGGCAGCCTCTATCCATTTTGCTGAAGTCTGAAGAACATGAAGGGACTTGCAAAAAAGATTTATATTTCTCCATTGTGTCATGTAAGAATGAGCCTTACTGTGAGGCCACTAAACCGTCCTGTCTACTGGAAAATGAACATGGTTGTTTCAAGGCTCTGCGCAGTAAAGAAGGGCTGTAACCCAGCAGGAACTTGTCTGCTCCTGAAGGTCAGTACAGAGTGTGAAAATTTCTTTACTTTTTTCATTACCAGTTGGTAATATCATCTCTATGTGATGCATATTAAATGCCTATGAAAAAAAAGCGGATCAATCCTAAACAGTGATTTGTGTGACTTAAAGACACTGATGACAAAGAGGATATTTTGCATATTGTATCAGCAATTAAAATATTCCTCAAAGATGTGACTCCACTTAAAATTTAGCTCCATGAAGACAGGAAAAAAACCTCCTCATTCTTCTAATTGTTTTTTAATAAATTTACTATCTACATATTAAGTAAGAAGTTAAAATCACATCACCAGAAGTAGTAGCATCCTCTTCAACACTGCTTTGTGTTCTTGTGAAGTAGAAATGCAACAGACAACTTAAGAACAGCCTTGAAAAGAACTTTAAGGAATGAAAGCATACAGAATTTGTAAAAAAGCTAGACACATATTTTAATGCCTCAGAAGCCCCAACCTTGAGTGTTAAAATATAGTAGTGCTATATTCAAAGCACGTATCAGATCTAATTCATAAAGAGTGTGCTCTGCATCTTGCACCTGTCAGTTGCCGTTTGCATTGCTGCACTAAGTTCAAGGTACAGGTTTTAAATTTACGTTTTCCTTTTTTTTATAATGAAAAGATTAAAAATACACTACTAGCAAGGCAAGAGTTGAAAATAGGGCTAAATCCAGAATACTCAAAATATCCATTCTCAGGTGTCTTCTGGGCATAGACCAGGAACTAATAGAACATTGTCCACTCCAATTTCTCCAGTTTTGCCCTTCCCACGTTCTGATTCAAAGGTGATCTGTCACAAGAAAAGAGATGCATTAACAGTGAAAATGTAGTTTATCCAACCATTTAGTGACTCTTAAACAGTTTTAATGCTATATCTGAGGAATGTTTAATTGTAATTCATGAAAGACTTAATGACTCAAATCCCTGCAGCTTTTAGAATGTTTATATATTATTTAACTGGACTGATAATCCTCTGTACAGATTTACAATACCAAATGGATTCATTTAATAAGATTGCTTATTTTCACCGTACAAAGAAAATGCAAATGGAGTGAAATCCCATTATAATAATGTGGCATTATTACTTTATGAGACGTTAGTGCCCTCTTTTTTTGGAGACATTACAATTGTTCATTTTCCACCTATTTGGACCTTTAGTATTAGGTTATATAGCTGGTAAATACATCTATTTCAATCTATTTCAATCAATATATATAGTAGGCTATCCATTATAATTGCAGTCACACACATAGTAAATTCATTTTTATCAATAGAGTGTCTGGGGTTTTATTTTATAGACTGACTCTTATTTACGTAAGACTTCCTCCATGTCTTTCTGTCAGTGCAAAAAACTTCAAAAAGGACTTCAATTTCCTTTATGCTTCCAGTACTCAATTGTAAACATAACCCTTTGCCCTGCATTGAAAATATTCAGTCATATAAATGAAAATCAGGCTCTAGAATTTCAAGAAGAAACTTGCTGAAGTCTCTACTGAGGCAGTTTTCAGAGAAGTTACAGGGCAGAGTGTTCTCTGCTGGCAAACATACCCTGTACCTACGGTGACTGCCCAACCTTGATTATAAATGAGGTCTCTTTTTGCACTAATAATCTGTGTGAGTATGGCTTCAGAGCATCATCTTCTATGAAACAGAGATGATTTTCATTTTTCCAAGCACACACTTATGCCTTCTGTTGCATGAAATAATAAACAGAGATTCTGGTAGTTTGTGATAATTAGAGATCTGACGAAGTTTTTACAAAATGATGGGATTATTTGGCATCAGTGTCCTAGCAAACTGGAGTCATTCAGTTATGAAATTACAGTCATACAACTTCTCAGCCTTCTAAAATCTATACTCCTCCATTTCCAAACAGCCTTTCAGTTGCAAGCATACGATGCCTATAAAAGAGCTGGTGGAACACTGGAGGATTAGGAAAAAACCTCTTGTGTTGGCTATAGCAGTTAGGTTACACACTGCATTAGACTTACACTGTTAGTTGTTTCAGTACCCTGCCATATTTCCACTTTTCCAGTTCTCCACCTTTCATCTTTTCCCTTGTCCTGCTCCCAGACAGGAGCAGTTCTTTGGTTGGCCATGAACACTCGAAGTTTTCCCACTCTTTCGCCAGCGAGCCGATAACTGAAAATCAAGCAGTAGGTGCTCGTTGGTTTGAGGTCGGTCAGGAGAAGTTTTAAGCGGCCTATATCCTTCTTGTGACCCACAAAGGCTGGAACAGCCATGTAGTATCCATCACCTTGTAACAAAAAATGGAAAATGAAACTTGAATGGACCTGTACTACTTGTTAGTAAATTGAAAGCAATTTTGCTAAGAAAATAAGGAGAAGCTCTGTTACTTGAATAATTTAAAATTAGACTGGAGAAAAGCAGCAGGAAGTCTAAGTTTCAAGGAATAAGCTTTCTCTATTGGAAGTCAGATCCCTTCAGAAAGGAAATGAGTTCATATTTCACTGGCAATCACAGTCATTCTTCCTTGCGTTGCAATTTTCTGTATATTTCAAAGACAAAATCATCTCAAATGCAATAGCCTGAAACATGGTGCTGTGCCCCTCTGGTCAGACCATTTCCAGCACTTGATCTAGCTCAATACGCTCTGCAATCTCCTCTGCAGTGATGACAAACTCATAAAGGAACCAGCAGTTTATTCCTTAAATCCTGGAGGAACAACAAAATGAGAGATGACACACAAAGGGATGAAGGAATAGAAGAAGTGAGTCCATAAATAGACGTAATTAGCAGACCTGTGGTTGTGAAAATGAAGTAAGGCCATGGTAAGGGCTTCCTGAAAGCTGCAGGAAAGAGAAAGGTACTGGGAAAAGGAAATACAAGGAGCAGGAGAGGAAGGATTAGCAAAGAAAGACTGAGACGGAAAGACTGTGAAAGAAGAGAGAGAGAATGTGCATGTCGGGACTGGAACAAGTGCTCTACATTATCCACTGGGTCTACTGGAACATTTTCTGCAATGTTTCCTCACAAAGGAAGATCATAGAATCACAGAATGCTTTGGGTTGGAAGAGACCATTGAAGATCCTCTCATTCCAACCTCCATACCATGGGAAAGACACCTCTGACTAAATCAGCTGTGGATGGGGCATCCACAGCTTCTCTGGGCAGCCTGTGCCAGTGCCTCACCAACTCATCATGAAAAATGTCTTCCTTACATCCAATCTAAACATTTCCGTTTAAATTCACTGTGTCTATCACTATCACTATCACTATACTCCCTGATAAGAAGGCCTCCTCATCTTTTTTTCAGTCCTCCTTCTAAGGACTGAAAGGCTGCCATGAAATCTCCCCACAGCCTTCTCCAGGCTGAACAACTTGTTACAATTTCCATTTGGACACTGAAGTGCTGTCTGCAACTCTTCAGACACAGGCATACAGCCAATTCTTCAGCCATCTAACAGCCCATCTATCAAACTTCTATCCCTCCAATTGACTGGTAGGAATGTTGTCAGGGTCTGTGTCAAAGGCCAAGCAGGAGTAGATGACATCACCACTCCATTGGAGAAGCCAGGCACAGTTATCACAGTGCTATGTCTAAACCCTGTGAGCGACAACATTCCTACACCCACCTAAATGGTAGATGTGCTTAAATATCCTACCAGCCTTGGAGAGACACAATATGTAACTAAGAAGGTTTCAATTGTTTTGCAACTTGCAATTCTTAACCGTTAATTCAAATCTTTCTGCTCACCTTTTGATTCATTTGTACTGAAATATACTGCCAACTAGCAATTGCCACTGGAAAAGCAACTTCCACTCTCAGCCTTCTCTGCTGCCTTAATTAATTCTTGATTCTATTTTCTTCTTCACTTTCCCCTTTTTTTGGAGAGGATAAGACATCACAGCTGAGCTTAGGGATAGGTATTGAAATAAATACCTCTGTCTCGATCAGCAGGATTCCAGTCAAAGTCATCATTAGTATCTTGTTTCCAGTCGCAGACTCCTCGACTGAAACTGCAGTCAACTAGGAAACAAATTGGCAATAGAAACACACAGGTAAGAGAAGCGTTGCATCTTAAGTACTGATACAAACAATTTGCTCTTTATTCACCTCCTTGTAAGTGTATAGATCGTGCTAAAACTATCCCCAATTTCAATTCAGACAGCGTTCACCTAGATTAATTTCCAAAAGAAGCAAAACATCCCAATTTATTTAGCAACTCTTTCCTTAGCTCACAGCAAAACCTATTGTGTCTTTTCACTGCCAGTCTCCCACATGCACATGATTTTATATGCTATGACTTCTGTTTACTGCATGCCTGCTGGTTTCCAGGTGCAGTTTGAGATGTTGGTTTTTAATTTGAACATCGTAAATGGTTTGGGGACTGCAAATTTTCAAGCTCTGCTCTTCTCCACATGTGCAACTACACTGCTGTAGCTGCATCAGCTGAGATGCTCAAGCTTTCCTTCTTGCCATTAAAAAAAAGAAGCTGGCTTCCCATGAGAGGAATCTGTTGCCTCACACTAAATACTACATGGAGCTGGGAGCAACCCAAATATGTCGACCTTTAGAGCACACTGCAAAAAAAAGCGTCATCCAGAGCATACCACAGCCTTCATGGGCTGTGTAAATGAAAATGTAAATACAATTATGCATAAGCAAAAAAAAGAAGAACCAAGCAATGTTAGCATGACAGATCAGATTCATATGTCAGCCATCTGAATTTCCTTAGAAAGAATAATTCCTTTTGGTTCTTCGCTTGGATTTTATCATGAGACAGAGAAGTGTGGTATACAGCATTTAAAGAGCACTTTTATATAAATCCAAGTCTTGTTTCCAAACCTACTGCTCTCTGAATTGGAGAAGAAAAAACATCATCTCACACGGAATGTCAGCCATCATATTTGCATTTTTTTTTACAGTCTAGGAAGCACTTCCCCATTGCTTTCAATTGAAACCAACCTTGTCCTAAAATGAATCTCAGATACAGTGAATCCCAACTTTTCATGCCCTGCTCACTTAGCTGTTAACTCCACAGAAGAACGCTGCTGTCCTATAAGTGCATTAGCTCACCGTTTCCCCTCTAGGATTCTGCTTTTTTCCTTGGCTCTCATGATTCTCCAAAGCCATTTTTCAGCTTCTTGCTATCTTTGCCCATCTCATAAAGGCCGCACAACTTAAAATCAAGTTGCATCACAGAGAAACTTGTTTCCCATCAGCAGAGAGGGTGAAAGTGTCCCCTGATCTGCTCACACACTCTGCTTTGACCTTAGATACGCTGCGGTTTGTCATAGTTACCAGAAGGCAGTGTAGTTTTCTGTGTGGAAATGTATGAAGTGGTTTCCTAGGTCATGGCCAAAGTTTAACTTGTATGCATAAATTGACCAGTTTTGAGCCTTGTATGCTGACAACTGATTTTGCAACAATTTTAATGTTAAAAAAGAAAGAATCATCTTACTTTGATATCCACAGAATTTACTGATGAACTGGGAGCTATCATGAATTTATAGACAGGTTGTTAAAGGATAAATATTTATTCAGTTATTTTCAAGGGAAACTGAAATTAGGACAAGACCCAATAAAAATGGCTGAAGGGCACTGGGATATGGTTGCATGCTATACAACATTTCTCTAAAATGGTTTAATTTTATAGATGACCAATATGAGCTCATTTTTTCCTGAAAAAAAGATGTGAAATTCACTTGCAAATTAAATTTCCATGTGGGGAAAGAGCTAACATATGTTAGCTAACATATGTTTTGAAAAGAACACTAAAAAGAACACAAAACACAAAACAAAGGTTCTCACATTCGAACTGGCAAAATGATTTGGCCATATGCCATCTCACTAAACTTCTGTTGCATGTTAAAGACCTCTAACTGCTTCAGCTAAGGCTGATACAGGTTCTCAATAAAACACACAATATGAGATAAAATAAATATTACAGAATAAAAAGAATCTACCTTCATGCTCTTGTCTTGTCATCGCAACTTTTCTTTGTGCCAGGAGAGGGCCAAAGGCAGCTGCTTCTTTACCCTGAGGAACTGGTGAAAACAACTTGTCAAGGGCCAAATCATAACAAGAACAGAAAGCAGAACTTTATTTCTCTATACCAATTACAATCATTCATTTAAGTAATTCAATGTATGTGTTTTTCAAATTTCCATCAAATTTAATTTCCTAACCCTGGCTAGAGACTAACTCTGAATAGTAAAACTTCATTCAAATTGTGAATTCCCTCAGCACTGTGCCTTCTAAGATGTAGGCAATTCAGCTGCAAGGTCCACAAAATCAAAGATCTTTGCATGTGCTCTTTCTTCACCATGACGATCTGTTCTCTTGCTTACAAAATTTCAGCTACCAATTGAAGTACTTCAACTGCAAGAGATGATGAAGGCAATGATGTGAACACCTGGCAGCAAACAGGAAACTCAAAACATGGATAATGTGTGAGGTTTTGTAAAAGCCATAAATCTGGGGAATCAGAGGCCCATAAACTGCTGTAGTGAGAGCTCCAGGAGATTATTTTTCTGAAGCTGTACTTTCTTCTAAGGCATATGCAGGCCTCATCAGCTCATGTAGGCACACGCAGACTTCATCAGCTCATCTTCCTGTTGGGAAGGAAAGGCATGGCAATCGCTCTGCTCTTCCTCACCCTCCTTGCCACAGCTGGCAAGCACAGCCTGACAATTCAATCATCAGGCTTGGCAGAAACTCTGCAGAAAGCTCTTTTGTAAAAAATAGTTGACTTGTCCTGTGCCTAACCGGAAGAGTCAGTGAGTCAGCAATAAATGTCAGGTGCATTCTCTACAGTATTGGCCTAAAGAAGTATTGGCTTATGCAAAAAGTGCTATTTTTTAGCAACAGCCTGAGAGAGAAAGGCAAAATGTCTTAGGTCTGACAAACTCTTATTTTCCATGGACTGTCAGCCGGCGGACAGTCTTAGTACTTTTGAAGTCTAAGTCTAAGTACTTTTGAAGTTCTGTGGTTAAGCTTCTTCTGTATTACTCTAAGTGACAACTAGTGAAGTGCACACTAGAAAAACCAATGGTCTCAAATTCTTTGTGTGGTGTCTATGTAATTAACTAATCACAAACAAGGTGATGGCCAGAGATGCTTTCACTGGCAGAGGGCTCTATCCTTTGCAAATGCATATGCAGATACCTTCAATATATACATATATACCTATGAAAAAGGAAGAGCTAAAATGCCCCATTTTAGAGGAGAGAGGGAGGATCCTTTGGATTACTGCTTACAAAAAGTGCTTACAAAAGCCCAGCATAAGGAAGTTCACTTTTCAGACACACCACGTGGACAGCAGCACCAAGAAAAGCTCAGGTTTCCTCAGCAGCGCCAGGTGATAGGAGCTATGGAAATCAAAATTACATTTCCCTACTCAGTGCCACATTAGTCATGCCTTAGGAAGTTGCAGATGCCAAGTATTTTAAAAGTCATGAACTTCATATGTATGCTTCTTGTTTTTTTTCTGAGTTCAGAATCCAGTTTGTTCCACGAGTTCCACTTACCTACAGATTCTCATCAAAATACTCCAACATGCTTGAATTTGTAAGTACATGATCAATATTAAGAACATGTTTACAAGCCACTGCAAACCAGTCTCCTCGTACCATAAAGAATATGCCATTTCTTAACTTTTCTTCTCCTTCAAAACTGTCAAAAAATTGTTCTTTATGTACACCAGACAAAACACACAGCAATGAAGAGACCCTGGAGGCTGCTCCAAAGGGACCAGCTGAGCCAAGAAAGGAGACTCCTGCAATCTTACAAGCTTTCTGATGAACTGCCAGGAGCTTGTTCCCTCTTGTTGCCCTTGCAGTTTTTTCCTCCTCACCCAGAACACTGCTTACATCACCTAGATAATATTCTTACTTAAGGCAAAGACTAATATATCTTTCTCCAAATTAATCTATGTCTACATGTATACTTTTAGGAACAGGCACATAGGGTTTAGTCATTACATTTAATATCATGCCATAAACTTGGCCTCGTATTTTGTGAAAGAGGCTCAGGCTACGAACACCCTTGCCAAAATGAAGAAAGCTATTAAAATGTCAAAAGTTCTGGAAAGTGTGGAGAAATTTAATAGAAGATAGCAGCTGCCAGGAAGATTTATTTACAGAGTTACTGAATTATACTTGAGGGATACACATGCAGGTGAAACTATGCTGCAAATGCTTCCAGTGAATAACCATCATATACATAAAAAGGTCAAATTTTGTATCCAAATCTATTTTTTGCTTTCAGTGTCAGACATTACAGCCAGATTCTCCACTTACTGGAAGATATCACTAGTGAATCATGAGAAACTCTATGCTTCAGCTTACAGAAAGGCTTCCAAGAGCCCTTATTTCTTGGAAGGTGCCTACGTTTGACAGAGCCATCACTCCATCACTGGACATAACCAGAATCCAGAGTCTGTCCCCTCCTAAGTATTAGGCAGGAGTCAGGCTTGTTCTTTTCATCTCTTCTGCTACCCAGTGGTGCTTGCAGAAATACAGGCCTTCCTCAAAAGTCCTAATATCTTGATCCCTGAGAATACAGTCTCCAACAAAAGCTCACATAAGGCCCACTTCTGGTACATCAGAGTTCACCCCTTATTTCTGCAGTACTGGCATCTACAAACCTACATATCTGCAGCACTAGCTGTTATATTATCTGCAGTTATATATAAAATTCTTTGCTTCAGAGTACTACACATTCTTAAGGGCTGGTGCCATCAGTGTAGTCTTATGAGGTAAGATGTGCTTACCTTATAGGCAGAAATTAGTGACAAAGAGAACTAATACCCTAGTCTTCCGAGGTACCTATGTAACCAAACACAACCAATTCACCAGTTCACCAACTTGGACTACACGGCTTCTTGTTTGGAGCTGGCTTGCACTCAGATTGCTTGGAGTGCGCACAGGTCTACCTGCAAAGTATCATTTATATAGATTCTCAAGTCAGTCTACAAGTTAAATAAGGGATAAAGAGATCACAAACACAACAGGAAGTCTGCAGGAGCACATCTGAAAAAGATACAATACTAAAAGACTCAAAGTTAAAAAAAAAAAAAAAAAAACCCACAAACCCAATGAGTAGAATAGATCTGTGGAGTACCATTTTACGGGCATGCCTCAGAAGAACACCATTGGTAAGTGAATCGTGTGGTAAAGAACCTTACTAAAAACCCTGATAGATTTTCCTTTATGTGCACTTGATTTCACCTTTCTGCTTTGCCAGCTACTGCATTTAAAATTACATAAACTGCATTTTAAACTCCTGGAAATAGCATTTTGTCTGAAAAAATACTGTTTGGTTTATAGCTTGAACGTTATTTTCTAGTTGTCTGCAGTAATCAAGTGCTATCCTTAAAGCTTTAATTTCTTTTTGCATTTCTGTTAGTGGGTCTGTATTTCTTATAAATCACCAGCAGCATCAGAATGAGCTCTTCCTGAGACAACAGTATTGGAGGAACAGATAAATAGCAGAATACTGGAACCCACACATCTTAAGGAGTTAACTGTGGGGACTGTGGTGTATTTTTGTTTCTTGTTATGACTGTTCAGATTTTCCAATCCCTGGAAATGCCTATGCTTGTTTTTGCCTAAGTAGTCTAATTATTCTACGTACAGAAATAGCATTAGATCTGGGAGAAGCAACTCACTGTCAGTAATTCTCACACATACAATCCCAAAGTGTCTAAAACTGCAGCATGTAGGATCTCTCAGAAAAAAGGTTTTTGCTGTCAATCTGACACTGCTCTCTGATGAGCAGAGCTCAATGAAAACTGTGAACAAACAAACAAAAACTCTAAAAAACAACTCTAAAACCACTTCCACTCCAAAAACTAGAGTGAGCACTGTAAAAGAAATCTATCAGCATATAAGAGATAGTAAAATGTAGAGTGGTTTCCTGTACACACCGTAGATCACTGTCAGACTGAAAGGAACATGCTACATTTCTGCTACCCATCCTCCTCTGAAAGAGTTACATCTGCCAGATGCCCGACATCTTTGGAGCCCTTTTATCTATAGCTTTGGACTGAGCTGCAGCCTGAGCATTATTTGCTCACACAATGGTCTAATTATCAGAAAAGAATGATATTAAAAGCAAACATCTTGATTAACGGAGAGTTCTCTTGTTCAGAATTAAGAGTCAAGAATGCATAAGGAAAGCAGCCCACTTATATCACTGCTGAAGCCAAAACCTTACCACTGTTGGTGCTGTCAAAAGAAGGAGCTTGGTAGTTAACACAGCTGGCTAGATTACATGTTTGGGCTTTACAAATATTAATGTACTAATTTTCATGTGACTTTTAGTGACTCCAGTAGTTGTTTTGTTCACACATCATGGTGTGCATATCCAGAATGATACCTGGGTCTTGACATTTCAATGCCCATTGCATTTCATATCACTGTATAAAAGCAGTTCCTACTGAGTCAATAGCTGTAGTTGAGGGTGTTTATCATTTCTGGAAATCAGACCTTAGGATCCCATATCACACAGAAAATAAGGAAAGGAACAAACACAACTCAGAACCTGAAATGACAATTTTTTCCCCCCTTCCCTGCAGTTCCTGCCTCTTTTTCTGCGCATCTGCAACTGCTCTGATCAATAACACACAGCTATGTATATTGAACCACCCCTTGCACTGCAACAGATACTTCCTTCACACTGAACAAGACAAAGACCTCATGGAAAACACCCATTAAAATCCATTAAAGAATGTATCACAAAGTATAAGAAGAAGAAAAAGTAAGTTTTCACAACTAACAATAATTTTGACATTTCTTCAATGTTAGGGCTTTATTTTTGCTATCTTTAACTACTGCATTTAAAAAAAAAACAAACTGTGATGAGTAGTTTTCATAAACAACCTATTTTACGTGGCCTCTTTTAACAATTTAGATCTTCACATATTAATTCTTTTTTCCCTTCAGCAGTTTTCTGCAGCTGCCCATATGTTTCAGATGTAGTAAAGGTCCTGTGATAGAATAGTGCGTACATTTAAAAATAATAATTAGGATCTCTGAAAAATGTGACCTATCAATTATTCCTAATTGACTCCTTTTCCTGGAAGACAAACAATACAGATACTAATAACACAAAGGCAGATGCAGAATGAGTACTTCTGGGGATTACACGGAGGAACTTAATGTGGTAGTAAGGGAATTGTTGCCGAATAGACATCAGCAGAGGAGGAAGAAAAAAGGATGTGTAAAATTACCAGCTGTAAATTTGAGATACTCTCATACTCCAGAGATCATTCAATAACATTAACAATGAAAGTCGTTTTAAAGCCAAATGTTGAACCAGTTAAGTGGATGAATCCACACGTTAGTACAGTAATGAGGATCAAGAGGCTCAAGAAAATTTAAAAGGGAAGGAAACAGTTAATAAGCACAGCCCAACTTGAAAGAAAAATGTAAATGGAACAACACGTTAAGTCATGCGCATGGTTGGGATCAAAACAGAAAGTCATAAGTAAAACAAAGTTCATATACTTAATGAAACTACTTCTAGGACACAGAAGTGTCCCCGTACAAAGAAGCACATCGATCTCCTTCCAGAGCTCCCTGGTAGAATAACATCTCACCGGCATGTTCAGCAAACAAATCCCTTATATCTCTAATGTCAAATTCCAGCCAAATATGACTAGAACAAAAGAATAGAGGAACAAAATCAGATAAATCACAATGGTCAGTATTTTCAAGCAATAACAGTAAAGCCACCACTGTCAATTGTAATGACTATTTCATAGAAAAAACTGTTTCAAATATCCTGGCTTGGTTGAAAAAAACCTCAAGAAGGAACCCCACCAAACACCATGACAGAATTCTCTTGTGCATTATTTTGATTTTGATTTTGCTGTGGACAAAGGATTTTCCTGATGTGCCTTTAGTGACATTGACAACTTGGAATTGAATCCATTCCACACAGTGTAGCAGTGAGTATTCCAAAAATACTTAGAAAAAAATATCCAACCATACTCAGGTTTTCAATATCTGGCAATATTTCCTGGACTTTCCAAGCATGTTACATCTGAGTTACTTTCCTCTGCCTACCAATCCATCTATCACAGAAAGGCAGAAAGAGATCCGAGGGCTGACTTTATGATATTTTCATCAGACTGCATTGCCTCAGGAAATGAAATAACCTACAGTCCTTTATGGCACCAAGTTCTGAATAAAAGTATCAGTAACTTATAACAATGTTACTTATTCATATTTAGTTAATTTAGTTAAGACCTGGGCTTTATTGCTTCTTGTGAGACAATGGAGGTAAATCATCTAATTCTTTTGTCTGAGACTCTCACATGTATTTGGCAGTACCAGTATGGATGAGACTGGTTCAAGGGTAGCTTGCCATCCAGTGAAAACATCAGCCCCAACTTGACTTCATCTTCTGCCCCTGCTATCTTTTTCAGGGAAATTATTTATGAAGAGATCCTTAGAAGCTGGACAGAAAGCTGCATAAGCTTATCAAGAGTGGAAGGCTGGGTAAAGAGGTAGGGCGTATCTGGTGTGGCTGGCCAGAGGAAGAGTGGAGCCCTGGGTATAGGATCATCAGATTTGGAGTCGTGGCACCATCAGCCAGAAACCTTTCACAAAACATGGAGTTGAGTACAGCCTGGCGATTAGGATGCAGGTCTAATCACACTGGATAGCACTATTTTTGGTACTACATTGAAATGCTATGTTGAAAGAACAGAAAAAATCATAGAATTATATAGGCTGACCTGCTGATCAGGAGATTATCTGAGGCCCATCTATCAAATTATGAGTATCTCCAAGGATTCATATTTCACCTGTATTCCTGCACCAAATTTTGGCCGGCTTTGTGGAAATAAAGTATTCTCCTTCTATCATAAAGAGAATATTATACAAGATAGCAATTAAAAGGAAACATATGAAATCCAACTGAGAAAATTAGTCAATCTTCCTGATAAATGACTAGTGTCAGATATTAAGTGAGATACTTGAGATGCATGCTCAAATACCATCAAATGTTTTAAGAGTGAGAGAGTCCATCCAGATAAACTCTCACATCTAAACAAAAGAGATAAAAATCCTCTGTGATTCACATTATCTTTCTGGTGGAATGACACAAAAAAACAATGGCATCTATTGTACGCTTTATATTTTGAAACACAAAGGCACAAAAGTGTATGCTTTTAGTATGAATAATACACACTATTTGAGTGATGAATATGTCTATTACAAATCAAAGATAGTTCTTGTCTTAACCATAATGAAACAGCAAAATATCCTGTTTTGTTGGAGCTTCTGCGAAGAAAATGGGAAAAAGCTATATGTAAGCTGGTGTAGGTCCTTTCCAACCTTGTGATTCTATGATTCCAACAGCTGGAAGAGTGCCTCCCAGGATAACACACTCTTTTCTGTCAACATTGACTGCAGATAGTTTCCTCTAAAAGGGAGAATCACTAGCTCTAATCCCACAGTAGGTTTATTAGCTTGATTTTCAGTTTCTGCAAGTAAATTAGGATAGAGCAGCTACAATGTCTGGTAACTATTTTGTTCATATATATACTTAAATTAAAACTAGCATAAAAATCGAGAAACTTACAGAAGACATCTCCTCTAAGGCTTTGCTCATAGTCAATCTGATTCTCATAATCTTCCTTCTCCTCCTCATCTGTCTCATCGACTTCCTCTTCTATGGTGACTTCAGTTCTTTTTTCTCCCACAATGTAACTCCCACCAAGATCAAAACCGCCTTCATAGTCCAGTGACTGCAAGTGGGTTTTAGAAGCTGGCGTCATGGCTGCTTCTGGGATCACATTCTTGATTGCTTTATGCTTTGCCACGCTGTTTTTATGTGCAAGAAGTTTCTTTATTGTGTCCTTAGCTCTTCCAGGGATTCTTGGAATTTCCTTCACTGATTTTTCAGGAATAGCTAGAAACCAGAAGAAAGTAGTAAATATTCACCTAATGAACCATTCAGCAAACACGTTTATAAATGGCATCACATTGTCCTTGATAATACCCAGACACTCATACAGCTAAATTCTCTACCATGACATTTAAGTTCACCTCTGTACTATACTATGTATGCATTTACCTCTGTTGTACAGACAGCTCTCTGATTCAAAATCGTAGAAGCACCGAACGGTGTGGGTTGATAAAGAGCTTTAAAGACCATTTAGTTCCAGCTCCCATGATCCATTAGGCTGGGTTGCTCATAGCCCCATCCAACCTGGCCTTAAGCACCACCAGGGATGGGGCACAGCAGCTTCCCTGGGCAGCTGCACTAGCACCTCACCGCTCTCATAGTAAAGAATTTACGATGAGTTACAATGAAAACACAAAAGTTCCCTCTCTTACAACATCACTTGGCCTCTTGTGTAACACAGGCTACACAGCTCCTTATAGTCTATATTTATATACAAGAGCTTGGAGGAAAAAAATAACTCCTCATTTGGTGGACTACTAAAAATTGTCCACAGACATGATTCCCTAAAACAAATGTCAGCCTACTAGCAGTGAGAATTTTTTTTAGATATCTTCTGTGAAGTCCTCAGCCCTTTCACTACAGGCTGAAAAGCACTGAAATAAAGCATATTTTGAGGGGAGATATATCAAGATGATACATCATATTTCATTTAGTTCTAAAGGATAAAGCACTAAAACTTCAGAGAGGCATCCAAGAATTCCAAATTATTATCTTGAAACTGCAAGTTGGGCTAGAACATAGATACACAATTTCATAACATTTTTACTATTTTACGATTCCTCTTGACTGACAAATACTAAAAGAATATCCAGCCCTGTAGTATTTGCAACTTCTGATCCTGTCCAGAAACACATAGGTGAGAACTGTAAAACTTAGAGTGGAGTAAAAGTCAACAAAGATTGTTCAAATCTGTAAAATAAAAGACATAAATCAGAATGTGTGGGTTTTCTCCATTTTTGTTCCATAATACAGCATAATGAAGTCAAATATCCTCTACACCCAGACAGAAAACTTCAAAACACTTAGTGATAAGAGGGTATTTTTCAATTTAATTAGCAGCCATGATTTTCATATTATGCTTTTCTTCTCTATAAACTGCGTCTCAAGACAAAAACATTTTGTTTCTTTTCAAATCCAATTATTCTCTCTACGATCATCAAACTATGTTGGGATGCTTGAATGAGGGACTATTTTTACAGAATCCCATTTGAAGATACAATTCCATCGATGCAGGGAGCCAGAACTGATTTTCCAGCAGTGATGAAACCCAGAAGCAGTGCAAAGGGCTCCTTTTGGGTGGTCCTGTGTGGAGCCAGGAGTTGAACTCAATGATCACTGTGGGTTTCTTCCAGTTTGGGATATTCTATGATTCACCAATACTTTTTTCCGTATGTTTCTTTTCAAATAAGCAAAGACAAACAGAAGAGAAAACACCACTTAATGAAACAAAGCTACAGCCTAGTAGGAAAAGATGAAAAATCCCAGAATTTATATTAATTCCTGGATAATATAATCCTGATAAAAGTTAATTGGTCAGATTTTATTTAAAGGAAATGCAGCTACATTTTCTACTTCGTATCCCAGTACAATTTGACTCTTGGTTAATTCACTGGATTGTTCAGAGTTTCTGAGATTCTCTGAAATTGCAATTGGAGGCATAAAACAAATAATTGACAATAAAACATGAAATAAACAAAAACTGAAAATTTTGTTTTTCTTGTCCTTTGAATAAAACTCATAGCCTTGCTTGCCAGATACTTGCAAGTTAATGATACTCCACAAAGCGAGCCTTTACTCTGGAGGATGATATTCTCAAGGTTATATGTGATTTAACTGCTGTGGTTTTCTGAGTCTAACCTCAGAATGCAGCAGTGAAAGTTATCAGGAAGAACTCATTCCAAACAAATTTCCTCTTGACAATCAGTAACAAGAAGCTGCAGGCTGTTGATAAACATGCTATGGAAGTTTTCACGCCAGCCCAACTGCTTGGCAACCTGAACACCTGCTTTTAGTTCCTACTTTGAAGTCTTCCCAGTGAAATGAAAAATTCTTACAGCTTAACATAATAATCTCTGTGATGTCAGAAAACCAATCTTCTTGTACGTGCAAAACTAAGCAGTGTAGAAAATCAACTGACAGGTGTGACAAAATATAGGGACAAAAGCGTATAATCCCCACATGCTTGCAGACTCCAGTTTGCTGGAAATAAGAAAATCTTCATGTTCATATTTTATATCCTGGACAATGAGGGACCAGACACCAAGCATAGTTCAGGATATATTGTGGGTATCATAATCTGTATTCAGCTAAAGAACAGCCTGAGGCGTGGATTTAAGGCTTTTTATGTCTACCCATAAATTGCAGTAAGAACAGAACAGTCTAAGGATTGGACACATAAAACTCTGTCTGTCCTGCAGAAACCACAGCACTTGCAGGTTGCTGAGATAACACAGCTGAGGCACAAGTATCTCAAGATCCTTTGTGCCACTATATTTACATAAATAGACAGGTATTTCTCAGACATTTGCACATTTATGCATCTCTGTGACTGCACAGAGAATTTAGAAATTGAAAAGAAATGTAATGCATTTCATCCCAGCTCCTCTTTATGCATCTTCTGATGGGAAGCATGCAGACCAAGACCTCCTACTCCTATACAGTCTATAAATACAGACTGTATGAAAAATATCTCAGTTTCCAAAGGTATTTCATTTCTTTGAATCAGAAGGAATTACAGTAAGAGGTGGAAAAACAAAGGCAAATGGTGGCTGAGGGCTAGAAATAAATCTTCTAACATCTATTGCTGCGGAGGACTACGAGACCACAGATATGTGGTATGTCTAATGACTAAGTAGTGAAAGCTGAGCTGGAAAAAATATGGAGAACAGATGCCAACCTCCTGCCTCTGCTGTATCGTGTGAAGGGAAATGCTCTGGGGATGGTACAGGAGAGGGTCAGGCAGTAATCTGTTTTCCTCACACACACCTTGTGACTGCAACTGATGTTGAACAGGGCTCTGAGTGCAGGAGGGCTGCAACAGGAGATGGCTTACTCTGCCCACACAGACACTGCACTGCTTTCACCTTGCACCTAGCAACAGATTTGAAAATCTATTAAGTGGTAAGCCTTGAGACTGCCTTTCAAGTTCTTTTGTAGCTGTAGCTTCTGTATGTAAAAGTGGGAGAGGGGATGAGCAATACAGACAACCATTCACAGCATTTAGGGGTCTGTGGATGTGATTACAGATTAAATCAACAGTTTCAGAATTCACTCTAAAAAGTTCTAGAGCTCATGGTGAAGGATATCTCTTTCAGAGAAACCTAAGACATTCTTAAAGTTTTAACACCTAATTTAATACAGAGATTCTAGACTGTTATGGTCTTCTAAGCACCATCATCTTAAGTACTACACATCAAGGGATGGCAGCAGCATTTGAGTCTATACTGAATTGAATCATAAGGACCTGACAAGTGATATGACTAGAATGGCTTTTTAAGCTTTGAAATTGTATGATGCCAACCCAAACTTTTTTCAATACAGGCAAGTTAACAGGAAAACAAAATCTTGTATAGGTTTACCCTGTGAGCAAAACTGGAATTTGAGTAACATAAAAGGGACAAAGAGAGTTGTCGTGGTTTTGTATTGCCATTTAGATATCCAGCAAAGCAAAGCATAATGAAGAACAGAAACCTCTGTCTGCAGCAGGGCATTAAAAAGAGTGCCACTGTCAACATTTTAAGAGCAATGCCTGAAGGATGGAGGCTTTAAGATAGTTCTGCATTTTCCTGTTATTCTGTAGCTTCCTGTAAGTAAAGTGAACTAAAGACAGGTTCGCGTTTCCCCAGGAATCTTAATTGCTTATGGAACCTTCTGGGACCCTAATCTTAAATAAAAGCTGGAATACACATTGAAGCATATGGTGAGGGAAATGTGGTTTTTCAATTCACAATAGGAAATCAGGAAACATATGAACCTGAGCAAAGCAACAGATTGCAGCAAGATAGAGGCCAAATGTGGAAATGGCTAGGACCCTTTTAGGGAGCATTGGAAAACTTACACTTCTATAAATTGTTAAATGAAATGTGTGCTAGAGATAGTTCAGAAATAGTGTCCAACATTTCACACTGGATGGATAAAAGGAACAACCTCTGGTCATATTCAAACAAGCAGCACTGACTGCAGCTTGATGTCTCAGCAGCTTTCTGCTAAGTTGGCATATTGATATATGAATTGCATAAACCCCCAACTTCTGTACAAAGATGAATCTCACATCATCTCACTTATGTTATTTGGTAGCAGGAGGAGATACTGTCATAGAAGTTTCATTATAAACAATGTGCTTAGCTCCTCTCATTTCATAGTCTGAAAACTAAGCTATATATTAAAATGTTTTTCATTTGTTATATGCTGCTGTCATGGTAACCAGTTCATTATATATTTCAGAAAATTGCTATGAAGAATTGATGGTTCCTTGTGGAAATGGGATTGTCACCCTATGGGAGTAATTATATACAGTACTGATGGCATATTTGAGAAGCCCTTCTTTTATCTGCAGCAGAACCCCAGGCACATCTGCTGGGAGCTGGAATTGGCTGCAGAAGCTGCAGTCACTGCCACAGCCTCAATCCCCCACATTCTGAGGACAGTGTTCTCAGTCTATCAAATCCAATAGCAAAATCTCCTCTGACTTCAGAGAAGCTAAAGATTTTCCACAAATGTCTTATAACATGGAGAAAACTTTGCATTTCAGTGTATACTGCTATATCTAATTGTTGTTTCTGTCACTGTTTGAATAAACATTTGCCCAAATAAAACTCATCTGGCCCCGCTTTGTTACATTGCTTTTTTTTTTTTTTTTGACAATTTGAGTATAAATCAACTATTGAAACATTCAAAGTCAGCTTTCTCCCTCAAAGAAAGGCAGTATTTGTGTGGGAAGTACCACGTGAGAATCCAGTCTCTTTTTAGCACTGCTGCTTTTCACGTGTATATACCTCTGATTTTTTTTCTATTATTGTATTCTTCTTTGTAGTTGGTCCCTGCTTTTTGACCTTCTGCCAATGGCTCTCATTGCTGTGTCTTATTCCTCTATCCTCTCCTGCATTACATTTATTTTCTGTTCAGCATGTTCTAAGTTCACAGCTTCTTCCTCTTCTAAATGACAAATGGAATACAGTAATTAGAAATAGGACATGAGGAAGTGTGCAGAGAGTGAACAATTTAGTAGAAATGCTAGTGGAAAACAAGAAACTGTCCATCTTCAGCAATTTTTTTAACTAGGGCCAGACATTAAAAACTGTGTGATAGCCTTTCCATAAGCAAAATATTTCCTTTGTTCACATTTAAGCAAGCATTCCTCTTGCATTGTTTCTGCTTGAGGAAAGAATAACTAGGGCAAAATGAAATTTTCCTTTGAAAATTTCAGCTTCTCATTAAAAAGGAAAACCAGAATAATGCAAAGATATATTTGCCCAGAGATATATTTGATCAACACTTATTGACGATGTACTTTGTTTTAACAGAACCACGTTAAGATGTGTATTATCAATTTGTCCTGATGTTCACCCAGCTCTCAAGACTCATTGTGTCTTTCTTTCCTAGTCACTTGCAGTGGTAAATCACAAGGGATGCAGTCTAGCAAGCAAACTGGCACATAACTGGAATTTGAGAATGGCAATCCCTCCAAACAACTTTGCTGAGGTCCAAATCAAGCCTTTCATTATCAGCCAAGTTTTTGTGTATTTAGTTCTCCTCATCAAAAGTCAACATTTTTCACTTTAGTAGAAAGTAGAAATTTAACAGAAAATTAACTTAGGAGTTAAACTTTGTGTTTTTCTTATTTTCCCAAATACAGTTTTAGCCCTACTAAGGCAACTGCTTGCTTTGTGTTTAACATATGTTAACATGCTTCAATTTTACAGTGATAGGTGCTAATAACTTCAGATACTAATAACAGATAGAACCCTCTTCACTGGGCTTATTGCTCCCTTTACTTTTCATTGGAGTTGGAACCATTGATTTCAAACCAATGCCAATACACAGTGAGTGTATTTAAAATTAAAGGCAGAAAGGATTAGGATTGATAAACTCTCATGCAGATAAAGTGTATTCCAAATGCTGCAAGTGTCAACACTGATGCAATACTGGAGGTTTCAACTACCATTATGATGAGAGTAGGAACATGAGTAATAGAGAGACTCATAAGACACCAGAATTCATGGATAATAATAATACATATCTGATCATGGATTACTTGGGGAAAAAAAAAAAAAAGAGGAAAGAAAAGGTTTATATATCGTGTAGACTTCATTTTCTATAGAAAAGAGCTTTAAAATTATTCGCACATCCTTTATTAAAAAAATTTGAATATCTCCTGAGGAAAACATCTCTAATAACACTGTGAGGAAAATCTGCTAACTCTAGTAAAGGTAAGTAGAGTAAGTAAGTAAAGAGATTTATTTAAACACATAAGGCAGCCTTTTCCATCTTTCTTCTTGAAGGGTCACGTGCAGTTAGAAACAATGATATTTTTAAAGAAAGTCTTCAATATTCAATAGACAAAGGGGAAATTATAAGTGGAAATAATTTAGCAGAGGAGTCATGGCTTTCCTCCTTTCTCTCATTTTTTTTCTAAGTTACCTTGAATCTCTTCTGGAAGAAATTTAGTAGCCCTCCAAAAGGCTAGTTGTAAAAAATTAAAAAAAATAGTAATTGTTTAAAGCTATTTTCCCTGTTTCTTCATAATTATATAATAAATAAATAAATAAATAAATAAATCCACTTGACACTTCAAGTGATACTATGGGGAAGGCAAAGTTCATAGGCAAAGTTCATTTGAACTAATAATAATGACATATAATAAATAAATGATTATGTGTGGAGATTTGCTTTGGTGGATATTATAGTACTTTTCAGCTTAGTCTTTCCTAGAAAAGTCCTTGTAACCAAAAATTATTGCAGAAAAGGAAGATAGTACTGTTCCTGAGGTACTCACCAGCACAGTCAAATCCATTTCCTTGGTAGCCCTGATTACATTTGCATTTGAAGGATCCCTCTGTGTTGAGGCACTCTGCATGGAGGTTACACCTGTGTGTAGTTGTCACACATTCATTTTCATCTAGGGAAAGACAGAAATGCCTTAGAACTGGGCTGATAATCATGCTTCATGATAACCTGCTTGTAGCTGTACTGTAAGCACTAGAGTTAATAGTGCTAAGATGGTCCAGAGGCCATTGGAGGCAGAAGAATTAACGTTAAGAGAATATGCTTAGTTTCAGCTCTAGCCATACAGCTGTAGGCTTATGCAAAGCATCCCAGAAGAGTGCTACTGTCTTCTGAATGAGAACAGGATTCAAACTGTAGGTTGTGCACGGTATTCTGCTAACAAAAGGCATCGCGAAATGTGTAATGTCAACGAAAATAATTCACCAAGTCTTCCCCACTCTTTCACTATTTTGCTACATCACAAACACGTTTCTGACTTCTCCCACATGAGGGAGTCAAGTGACTGTACAAATATTTGAACCATTAGCATTCTACCCAGATTGTTTCATTTTTAGCAGCTGATAGATTCCAGGTAGGTCAAGTAGGACACAAGTAGCAGGAAGACTGACTCAAAAAAACAGAATTTCTGAGAGCAAGATCCAGGTTTCCAGATAAAGTGATAAAATCCTGACAACTGAGAATTCTCAATCTTTCCCCCATACACACATACTGTATAAAAAATTAAGCACTTTTTCCTCTTTAACACTGGAGCTACTTACAATACGAAGCTCTAATTCCAATACCCAGTATCCAAAACCTGCTTTGAGATCTCCCTCCCACCCTTAAGTGCCAATCTCAAGCAAAAAAAAAAATAATCAGAAAACATGAATTTGCTTTTGGATGTATTGTTGTGCTAACTCTTGCTGGCTCTCAGTTAGTGAACTACAGTGCCCAGTGCAGAACCTTACCCTTTGCCATTCTTTCACCATTAGCTAATGGTCTGAAACAGAAATAAAGGTCTTTTGATGTTTGTTTAACTGGGTAGATCAAGATAACAACTTTTCCTCTATTTCTGTTTGTGAGAAACGCCGACATGCAAAAAAGACCTGAAAAGTAATTAAGACCTCCTATTTTATACTTTTTTTTTTTTTTTAGGTTCCATACTATCCATCCAAACAACTATTTCTACTGTTGTGAACTGTCTTGATTCACATTGCTCATTAACTACACACAGAAAATAAAAAAGATTGTGAGACTGTTTAGTCATCAAAGGTTGAAAGTCGAAAGAACAAGCTCTTTGACTACAGTTATACCAAAATTAGCGCTTTCTTGGAGTTCATCAATTGTTGTTAACATACAACACCCTTTTGTACGTCATTTGCAAAAGCTTAAAGATGACTTGGTTCAAGGAGGCAATGTAATTTCCAAGTACCAGTGATCAAGTTTTTAATAAGGCCACAGAGAAAACCGAGAAAAAAAGCTCCAAAAGTCATAAAAAACATTCTTAGTGACATTTCTAAGGTAGCATCTCTAGACAAGGCCAATGTACTTCAGACAATGATGGGAAAGTTGCATTATGTGGGAACGAAAAAAAGATAAAAATGGAGAAATAAATTACATGGGCTAAGTCTTACCTACACAGTCATAATGGCCACTGATGTATTTCAGTTCATAACCAAGCTGGCACTTGCAGTAGTAGCTTCCAAATGTGTTGACACATCTGCGATTGAAAGAGCAGACAGCTCTGCCAGTGGAGCATTCATCAATATCTAGAGCAGGAATAGGGATGCTGGTCAGATCCAAAAGAAATTAAAACGGTCAAGCAGGAACTTGTTTGGTCTTGGCTATCACACAGCATTCAATAAATAAGTCCTATAATGAATACACTTGGGAATGGCTTTTGCATGTCTAAATATGAATGAAACAGCAAAACGTCCACTAACTTAATGGAAGATTTTGAGACTTGACAAGCAAAATCCATACTGACTGTATGGGCTCTCCACTGAGGTCAACAATTTCCCATAAGGTCACAAAATAGGACAGGGAGGGACTCCTGAAAAATCAGGGAATAGTTTAAGAGAGGGCCTCAGAAACAGGAAACAGAGCAGCAAGGAGTGGGGGCAGCAGCTCTTTCAGCTGAATCTTTGCACCGTCCCTTGCTGGGCCAAGTCAAGGCAGAGACTGCAGACTGCAAGTGCTCTGCCCAGCAGGAGGTAACAGTGGCAGATGTTCTGGACTAATAAGGCAGCTTGGTATGGGAGGAAATGAACACTGTTAAATAGTCACTGTAATTAAATGTTATCAATTTAATTCGTGAATAATGCAGCTTCTTAGGAGGATTCAGCTAAGACAAATAGCCATGGATCTTCAAGCATTTACCTATTTCTAACATTTCTGTAACTAATACTCAAGTATTAAGAGTATCTTAGAATCTTTTTCACATCCATTATGCTATACAGCAGGAAGTCGCTCTCTCATTTTAGAGATAGAGGACATGTGATAGAAAAGAGTGACCTAACACAAGTTGTATAGCAAGAAGGGGTATGCTATTTCTAACCACTGGATACACCTTTTTGTGCGTTTTACATTCTATCAATATGTACCAGCAATCTTCCAAATCCATTTGGGCAAGCAAGGTAAATGCAAATAGACTCAATACAAGAAAATAAAAATAACTGCCTGAATAATTCAGGAAGAGAACCACTTCTTGATTCTATTTAATAACATATTTCAACAGTGTTCACCTTCAAGTAGCTCTTAAACAATTCAAACAAAAATTAACTTGCTTGCTGGTAGTCTGAGAGCCTTGCTGATTCTTCAAAGCTGAATATTTCCAATTAAAAATTCATTTCACTTGAAAGAGAGAAATAATGTTCTCATGTTGGAGTGTTTACAGTTTAGAAATTAAGCAAAATATCCATATGGGCTTACTCTGTAATTCCTAAAAATGAAAAAATAGCCTCATGCTGTATGACATTCATACTTGACTTGATACTATAGCTGTACATTAAGGAGAATAATTCATATAGTAACTGTCCTTGTATGCAGCACTGCCTCTTGGATGATGCATTAATTTGTTTGAAATGTTAAGCATAATATTGTTTTGGCCATTAGAGCTGAAATTCATTTCTATATCTGACACGTCAAACTCCTCAACATTTAAAATATTTTTACCAATTTTATATATTTTTTACCAATTATATATTACCAATACAGTAAGAGATACCATTGGAGATTACCAATACATTGTTAGAGAAATACCATACTGCAATGTGAAATCAGGTATGTTGTTAAAGACATTGTACTGACTAGAACTCATTGCAAAAACTTGTTTATATTTTGAGCAACTCGAGAAAATGAAACATTTCCCAGCTACAATTTTCAATTTTCTATTAAATTTAAAGCAATTTAGCAGAGAGCATACAATCTGAAAAATAAATGCTTCCATAGCCTTTCAAGTTTGTTTGTGATGACCAACAACAGCAATGGAACAACAACAGCTTTGGAAATGTTTCTGTGCTGCTCCTGCACATACTGAGAGGTCTCGCACACTTGAACCAACCTCATCATAGATTTCCACCCAACCATGGGCTGAGGAGTCCTATTTCAGCTCCTCGGCCTTGAATTCCTGTCCAAAATGTGCTGCAATCACGTCCATTTCCAGTCCTGTCCCTGCATGGACCTCAGGACTACTCTGTTGGTAGTTTTATTGCAGATCCATCTCCTGGATGGACTCCTTGGATGTACATTAAAGCTTTATTTCCCATCTTGTATTCCTCCTGTTGACCAGACTCCTTGGACAGACACTGGACCTGATTTATCACCTGACCTTGTCACTTGCCCTGTTATAAGCACTGGTCAGCCAGTGTGATCAAATGCTGTGGGAGAGGACACGGGTCAGTGCAGACATAACACTGCTAGTGGTGGGGTCACCTGTGGCTCTCAGCTTATCCCCTTCAGGGAATAAGCCTGCTACTGCTGCTCCCTGACATGTGCTTCACTGCCTCTTCTTCTCCATCTTGGGCTGGTCCGTGCTTTGGAGGGTTCATTCATGTCCACTGATGTTTTGACGCTAGCTTAGTTTCAATATTAAAATGGGTACCATTTCAGCACCGGATTGCAATACTGTAGTCCTGCCTTTTCAGATAGCAGTGTAAAACTGTTGTCACTGAACAGTACAAGTGTTACGAAGCAATGCTACCTTATCACAGGAAATCCCTACGTAAAATGATGTCGAGTTTTCTGTAGAAAAATATAGAAGTTCCTATTGTGGGTCATCACAATACAGGAAAAAACAACCAAACATGACTCCCAAATCCTATAATGCATTATGTCACCGGGACATATATGTCCTATAGTGCACGTAGCAATTTCAGAGAAACAGAAAATCTCTTAATGACTACAGTATATGTCAAAGCATTTGATTCTTTATTGTGGAAGGAACTAGTCCAAAGAATTATATTATAAGAATTATTATTTAAAAAGCATGCACATTTTGCATCACTGTAAATAACAAGAAGCATTAGAAAAGCTAGTGAGGAGGGATAAATACTTATTACTCATTCTCCAAGCTCCTGAGTTTTTGGGGATCCTATAGAAAAGAAGCTGAGAGTGAGCTCTCTAACCATACCAATGCATGTCCTCCCACTTGGTCCCAAACGGAGGCCAGCTGATGGACAAAGACAGTGTACCTCCTCTTTGACTTCCTCACAACCATACTGGCAATTCGCAATGGCACAGGTCCTAGAGCCTGAAAACAGTTTTTAAAATAACAAAAAGAGCAAAAATCTAGGCTGGTAACACACACTTCATTATTAATTTAGATCTGAATGAGTGTAGAAAAATAATTAGGACAACAAAATCTCATTCATCATTAGTCAAAATGTCAATACGTTAACATATTAATAATACAATTCATGAGATAGATCTTTTGTCCCCTCTTCCCTTCATTTTGTTGTTTTCCTGTCTGCTCTTATTCCTCATTTTTTCTCCATTATCCGTTCTGATTTGCTGTTATCTTTTAAATACAGACAAAACTGCTCAAACTAGAAAAAAGGCTTTTTAAATTTTCCATCACTTCAGCTTTTTATCATGCAGTACAGTAGAGAAATGTTTTCATTATTAACATTTAACATGCTTTTATACAGACCTCGATTCCTAAAATTACTTAAAAATTACTTAGCCTGATGGACTTTGAAAGTGCAATTTATTTTGATCCTTTACAGAACAGATACTTGAATCTAAAGAGGCACTAGTCAGTACATAAGTCTTGTTTGTCCAGGATTGGCTAGGAGTGTGAATTACTGGAAATTATTTTGATCAGCCTTTAAACAGAAAAATGTGTTTAGATCTTGTCTGAGAGCGCGTTATGACAGGCTAGAAAAGCAGACTAAATGTAGTAGGTATATAAGAAGTCTAAAATCCTGAAAATATCCTGCATGCATTAGTACTGCGATGACAGGGAGAGAAGCAGCATTTGGAAGTGTTTACTAGAATAGTTGGAGGTGTATGCTAAGGCATTTTTTTTCTACTACATCACTTTTACTGCATTCAGGGAAACACAGCTTTATATAGGTTCTTTCTAACTGGGAGATCTGGAGTAGTTGCGAAGTAATCCGAGACAAAACCAACTGCCAGACTGGCGCATCACTTAAGTGGAAAAAGATACTTTTATTTTAAAATGCAACTTGTTCATTGGTGGAGGCACAAGAAGGTTCAAAATGCGTGCAATGAAGTGCATAGAAAAGCCACTGATGTGTGCAGGTGAACCTATAGCTACTGCCACGTAGTATTAATAGAATGCACATACTGTTGCTGCTAAATCATTTGTCTTAAGCTGGTTTGCTTAGGCTCTGTGCGTAAGTGATAAAATTGACAATATTTGAAATAGGGTTTTATTTTAGTATTGATGAAGACAGTAGCAGTAGGTTAGATTAAAAAACATGGATATACTTTTGTCACAGTTATCTACCTCCTAAGTGACAATAAAGAAACTAAGTATTCTTCTTTAATTGGTCATTCTGATTTCTTCCTCTTTTGTTTGAAGGTCCTATTGTTTGCCAAGTTAAGACAGTATTAGCTTAGACAAATTACTGCTATGATTTAGCACAGTAATTCCTGTAGAATTCAGATGATTTTGTGTTAGGCACTAACCTACTCTCTGCATGAGGAAGTGGCTCCCTGTAAACCCAAACACTTCTGATACCCTTCTACATCTGGTTCCACAGTACTTGGTATGGTTCCCCCCATCAGCCTGAATGCTCAGACTAAGTGTACTTCTGTTAAGGAGATTAACGTCATGGAGACTTTGATTTAAAAGGAACAACATTTGCTCAAAATGTTTGCCTGAATAAAATTATAATAAATAAAATTATAATAAAAATTTATTAATAATAATATAATAAAAAGTAAGTAAGCTAGTTGAGTAGTGAGTTAAACCAGCATTTCGTAAGAGTACGATCTTAAGTTAGCATCAAGTGAGATGGGAGTCAAGTAGAGTTAAGCAAGAATAACTTCTAGTTGAATAAACAGTTTATTATTTCATTTCATATTCATAGTTTCTGCTTTAAAAAAATACAAAATCTCTTTGGAAGTGGAAGATAGATTAAATTAAAGAAGCTCAGGATGGATGAACACACAGGTCTTTGTCTCCTCAATTATGTTTGTCTCCTGAAGTCATGAAGACTTCTTGTCCATTGAAAAATCACTTTTTTCCCCTGAAATTTAGTTTCATTCTGTATCAGTATTTGTCAGGTTCCACTGTTCTGTTTGGAAAATAATGTTTATGTGCCAAAATGAAATACAAGCTTCTGGGCTCACAGCTGTTCAGGCAGTTTTTTCATATATACTCTGAACTGGATACCGTTGCTGAGAAATTCAGTGTTTTGTATTGGCTTAAGTAAGGGACAGCGTATCTCTCATTTCTGTACAAATTTGGTACAAACATGGTTTCCTAAATCATGAAACCCATCCAGAACTAAGACTTAAAACTAATTCAGCAAAAATGTCTAGTTACAATCTGGATCTAGTTTTCTGACTTGGTTCAGTCAAGCAGCTGTACAGAGCATTCATGCTCAGAGTAGTGAAACCGAGGAATGGATGGCACAAAATAGGATCAAGTACCCTCTGGGTTCAAAGGGAATTGGGCTCAAAGGATAGGTTGCTTTTGACAGTACTTCCAGCTTCTGAAGTTCAGCTGTCCATAATACAGTGACCTTGCTGAAAACAGCTCACTATATGATGTCAGCAAATACACAGATTATCTTGGAAGAAACAGAAGAAATATATATATCCATTTCTTAGAGATCTCAAAGAATCCACAGCAGCTGTCTGCTGGTAAGATGCACCAATCACTGCAGGGAAGGGGAAGCCTCCAAAAGCTCTGGCCCCAGACACATTCTGCTGCAGTTTCAGTCTTCCTGCCATAACAAAGACAGAAACCAGGAGATCTAGGACTAGGGGAAATGGATCCAAGTTGAAGGAGGGAAGATTTAGGTTGGATGTTAGGGGGAAGTTCTTTACAAGGAGAGTGGTTAGGCCCTGGAACGGGCTGCCCAGGGAGGTTGTGGATGCCCCGTCCTTGGACGTGTTCAAGGCCAGGTTGGACGGGGTCCTGGGCAACCTGATCTGAATGTGTACGTTTGGTGGCCCTGCTAGGCAGGGGGGTTGGAACTACATGATCCTTGAGGTCCCTTCCAACCCGGGTGATTCTGTGATTCCATGATCTTACTTTTCTGTCTGCCCCAGACCTGCAGGACCCTGCAGTCCTGCTTTCACCAAGGCTGCATATTTTTCTAATTATCTCAAGATTGACAGCAAACTCACCAGATGGACACTCTGTCTGGTGAATAGCTGTCTACAAAGTTTGGAGATTAAATCTTTTCAGAGTTAGGGTTGTCTCTCTTATCCACAGGAATGACTGTGCAACACCTGATGCAGTAAGGTTCATTGGTTGAGGACAGATCTCTAAAACAGGTTATTCAATTGCTGAGATCAACTTGCTTTCTTGTCTCACTGATGTATCTGCTTCAGTCCAACAGACTCTAAAAAGGCCCCTGTGCTACCTTGAGTTTTGTGAAATTCAAAGCAAAACTACCTGTATGGAGTGGTTTTGCTAAGGTGGAAAAAGAAAGTATTGTTCAGAAACAAAACAGTATCACTGAAAAATAAGAAGTCTGAAAATTAGGCTAGCTGACAATGCAGAATACATGTTCAGCCACAAAGACAATAGGCAGAAATTCAGTTCAGATAAGACTTAGCACAGCAGACAAATGTTAGCAAGAAGCCAGCAGCAACTGTGGGAAGCATATCAGCACTCATAGAAAATAAATTATTCAGGGCATGCAGAAATTTAAAACAAAGAGTAACAGCATGAAGTTCAGCACAGTAAACTATACTCAGTATTGATGCACTGTTTGGATTGCTTCATTCATTCATTCAATAGATGAAACAGCAAGGCTGTGAACCAAGCTTATGTAATGACTTTCATTTGAGCTAGCACTATCAAATATTTTTACTTCTAAAAGGACAAAAATTCCTCTGGATCCCAGAAATACAGTTATGACCTAACTTACTTGGTCAAACTGAAAGCCTCTGTCAGCTGCTTACATTATCAAAATTGCTGAGGCAAAAATCCCATCCTAAATGAGCAAAATCCTTTTATCACAAAATGAAATTTTGCTGGAGTCCAATGTGATTAGGTGATCTTGGTGTGCCTATCCTGTCAGCTCTGTTACTTACTTGCACATGTGCCATCTGGCATGAGCATGTACCCGTTCAGACAATAGCACTTGTAGCTGCCATGTGTATTCATGCATCTGTGTTCACAGGGACGTGGTTTCAGTCCACATTCATTCAGATCTGCAGAAGTCATTGAAATGAAGTGAGTGTTGAGTATGTATAAGTATATATTAATGTGTATAGGCTTATAATATTGCTTAATGCCTTTAATTCCCCACAGTAAAAGAGCCTAGATTGAGAATGAGCCAGCCCCTTGCAAAATGAGAATGTAGCAAACCATCTGTCTGGAAGAATGCTTGGAAAACTATCACATATAGACTTCTGCACATAAACTTCTACACCTGAAAAACTAATGCAACTCTGACCACATCTGGCAGCCCATTAGAAAGAGGTGAAAGGGTCAGTTGCTATGTTTTCTGGGAGTTATTCTGCCAGGCTTCTCTGATTCTAGCTGGAGATTTTAGCTCTCCAGATGACCTCTGTACTAGAAGAGCTAAAACATTAGACTAAGAGCTGCAAATCAGCTTCAGATAAAGTGAAACAAAGAAACAAAGATTTCCCGAGTGCATGTGTCGGCACCAAGGTTTTCAGGGCAGGGATGTATAGTCAAGATGAAACTCAGTACATAAAAAGAATCACATGATGTTAAGAATAAAAGTACAAGAAATCTCAGTTTCTCAAAATCCAGAGAATAAAAGCATCCCAACAGCTTTTCACAATCTGCAATTTAAAAGATTCTGCAAGAAGCTAAGTTGATTTCAAACTCCCATTGTTATCTTTCACAGGGAGAAAACCAGAATCCCACCAAGTTCAATTTACGTGCTGTCAGTGCCACCGGTCCTAGAACAAAGGAACAACATCTGTACTTGTGATTTCTGTGAACTGATACCTTGGTCTCTAATATTTTGACACATGGTTTGCAACCAGACAGAACTTATAGCAGAACACATCAGCATATACAGCTCATTCAGCAGGCACTTAACAGCACAAATGACCAACTGTATAACTTCAATAGAGATGCTACTCTCCAAGCACTGAGACTGTGCAGCTCCAGATCTAATAGGAGAAGCAGCTGTTCTCACATCTATGCACCCTACAGATCAGAGAAAATGAACTCCAGACCACTCATAAACTTTGTGATACCTATATATGCACAGAACTATTTGTTACAGCTTAGATCAGGGGAGAAAAAGAACAGTGTACTGTTTTTTAAACATAGGGTCTGTTTGAAAAACAACAACCTATCAGCTCGGAAATCACATTGGACTTCTGATGTTACTTTAGTTCCACTAACAAACCAAGACCTCATAACAAAAAAACCAGAAGGGAATAGAAGTTATTCCACTTCAACCACACATTTTCAAAAGTGCTTAGCTGCACCTGTGTTGCACAGTAAAGCAGAGGTAGTGTGCACAGCCCTAAAAGAGAAACTGAGATAAGGTAGCTTTTTTAGCTCAGACTCAGAGGCAGACTAATAGAGGTCCCTATCTCTTATTTAAGTTAGTTTATAATGAACTTGTTCAATGGGACACTGCACTGTAAGGACAGACCAATGCTACATTTGCCTGTACACTGAGTGTCTCTGAGTATTCCTGGCTACTGGGACACAAACACCTCTGAGGTTTGCAACAAGTGAAACAGCTCTGAGGCATTTCTAGCCTCCACTTTCCTAAAAATTTCCTGGCCATGAAGATAGAACAGTCCAGGGAAATAACAGGCAATTTGCACGTGTAGGTGCATACATTACTTCCACAAAGTTTCAGTCTCCGAACCTACTGCAAGTGAAGTAGTACTGCAAGCGCAGTTGATGCAATAAAAGGGAGGGGAAGCCATCCAGAGGGACCTGGACACACCTGAGAAATATGCACACAGTAATCTAATGAAGTTTAAGATGACCAAGTGCAAGGTGTTGTAGCTGGGTTGTGGCAATCCCCACAGAAATACAGACTGGGACAAGAACTCAGTGAGAGTAGCCTTGCAGAGAAGGACTTGGGGGTACTGATAGGTGAAAAGCAGGATATGAGCCAGCAGTGCGCTCTTGCAGCCTGGAAGGCCATCACTGTCCTGGACTGCAACAAAAGAGAGGTGGCAGCAGGGAGCAGGAGGGGATCGCACCCCTCTGCTCTGCCATTGTGAGAACCCATCTGCAGAACTCTGTCTACATCTGGGGCCCCCAAAACAGAAAAGATGAAAAGCTTTTGGAACAAGCCCAGAAGAGGGCCATGAAGATGCTCAGAAGGCTGGAGCACCTCTCCTATGAAGAAAGGTTGAGTGAGATGGGCTTGTTCAGCCTGGAGAAGAGAAGGCTCTGGGGAGACCTCACTGTGGCCTTCCAGTACTTGAGGAGAGCTTATAAACAGGAAGGGGACTGACTTTTTACATGTTCTGATAGTGACAGGACAAGGGGTATAGCTTAAAATTAAAAGAGGGAAAATTAGGTTAGATTTTAAGCACCTGCAGGTGCTTAGGAAGGCAGCATGCATAGACCCCATCTGTTTCTGGTCCTTATGCCATGCTTCACTCATCAGCAGTGCAGTAGAATGGCTTCTCCATCCACAGTGACTCACTCCTTTCATCTGATCACATTCACGGGTTCCAAATATTTCAACAGTAACAACAAAGAAGCAGAGTTGTCAAAAATATGACATCTGAAATTTGACTGAGAAATAACACATCTAGCATATAATTGCATGTTTTTTCTGAGGAAGTTAGTTAAGAAAATAGCATGGCTTCTGGATTTGACTTTCAGTTCTTCTTGTTTTCTGTATCATCTCTCAATGCCTTAATTCTCTGAGACAGTTTGCCCTTATTACCAGTCTGAAGGAAATACACGATATGGGTTCAAACTTCTGTTTGCTGAAGGAGGCTTAGAGCTTGCATCTCCAGCACCCCTCTTGAGGTAAGAGCCTCAAACTAGTCTAAACTCTGCTATATAAATAAGAAAAGGTCTCATTTTAAAAGTTTGGAAAGTGACAATCCATATTAAAAAAAAAAAAAAGAGCACAGAAAATTATCAGTCTGTTTTCTGGAGTAAAATCCCCATGTGCACAAACCTTGATTACAGGTTTTTCCTGTAAATCCAGGGAAACATTTGCATTTGTTTGGTCCCATGCATTCGCCATACTTGCAGCCATGTCCACAGATAGCTGAGGGGATCAGGCAGAGAAAGGAGAGAAAAAGAAAAAATTAGAAATATTCTACTTGAGAACTCCTCCTCTGCTTAATTGTCCAGACATTTATAATGGAAATTCAGCATCCTCCAGACCTCTCCCTCTAGTTTGGACATCATAGCTTCCGATCAATGCTTTATTTCAGTTGGAGAACAGGGATGCTGGCCACAGCTTGCCTGAGTGAATTTTCTCAGTTTGTAAATACCTGGAAAAGAAGGCTCCTTTTAGCACCCTCTCCAATGCTCCTTTCTGCCATACTTCTGATGCACATTTTCATACTTTGTACATACTCTGCTCTTTTCCCATTTCCTATTTTGGGAAGCCACCTGTAGGAAGCAGCTAGCCAGGAGCTCCATTTGCTACATTTGGCTGCTGGAGCAGGCAAGAGGCAGGAGCAGTCTCCTGCAGCCAGAAAATCAGTCAATTGATGCTAGAGTGGCTCTGGGATCTCCTCACTTACATCTGAGAACATGTCTATCCCATAGAGGAATATCCAGAGCACATCTGTCAAATGATCAAACACCTGTCCTTACCACACATACCAATATTCACAATTTCATCAAGTTTGTATGAGAGGGCTGGGCTTACTCTGGATGTGTTAAAGAGCAAAAATTTTCTCAGCCTCATAATCAGCCAGAAATTAAATGCTGTTTTTTGTAAGGCTTAAGGCTAGACTTTCTAAAGTCAATGTAATGATCAAAATGAGTGTTCTTTAGGAAAAGCAATCCAATGTATTTAAATCAGCACTAGCTCTAGCAAAAATCAGCAAACAAGTATGCACCAGGTTGTGCATCCAGCCACTTTCTGTAGTTACTCTGCTAGCTGAAATATAGGAAACAGTAAAATCACAATGTAAGTTGCTGTATAGATAAAATTCACAATTCATAATTCAAACCCACAAAATTCATCTTGCTTAATTCAAGCACCTTCCCTACATTTAAAGGTTCATTCACAAGTACTGAAGCACTATGTCTGAAGGATAGACATATTTTGACATCATCCCTGGAAAACAAATGTGGATCAGTTGAATATTTGGCTCTGAATCAGAGAACAACATTATGTTTTGATTTACAGTGCAGGAGTACACTACAGCTTTTCAAAGAAATCTGACAAAGAATCACCTTAAAAACTTATGAAATCTGGATTCTAGTACGAAAGTAACTTATTGCTTTAAAACAGAACAGCTTACTCCACTGGCTCCTCAAAGTTACATTTGCGAGTTGTCCCTCCATTGATTCATTTGCACCAAACCTAAGCTGCTATTAAACAATACGGTAATATTAATAAGTGCATCTGTCACTTTTTTTTATCAACTGACATACTATACAGAGAAGAGACTTTGGGACACCTTTCCCTTTAAAACATCAGGATGTTGATTTTTAGCAGTGACTAATTCTAAGCCTATGTTCAAAATCACTAGATATATAACATCAAACTGGTGCAAAGATGCAACATCTGAGATTCCTCCAACACGTATTTTAAGATTTTTTTGTGTTTTGCTTAAGTAGAGCTAGGAGAGTCCACATTAACTTCCTCCTGGGACTTGTAACAGGTTAGAAAAGTCTACTCATTGCCTCTCCATTAAGCCAACAATCCACTGATCAGAACACTGGTTGCCTACCCAAGATCAAATCAGGTGCACCTACTGCTTAGGTTACATTTATATTTCCAGAAAGTTAAGCTTCCTGGTTCTCAGAGGCTGTGTACTTCTGAAGAAAAAAGGGAATCAATTGATTTCACGCATCCATATGTAGCACCAGAAGATGTTGCATGTTTAGCACTTATTTGACAGCTGTAATAGCAGAGGCATTGAATGTTTCCAATCTCTCAGTCTGAGTATGCAGGAGGTTAGAACAGATGGTCCCTTCTGGACTTAAGAATTTTTGAATCTATATTTTACTGCCTGGTGCCATTTACCTAAAGCTCTGCTTTTTTAAGGAGATAAAATCTCAAACACATTTTTTTCACTCTCCCAAATAATCAATATATTCAATCCCACACAAGCTTTCCTCCTCTGACTTCTGGAAGCCCTATATGAAACCCCTTTATTAATACTAAGTACACAGCCATGGAGAAGAAACAAGCATAAAGTGCTCATATTACCTTCACAGTGGCCCTTGTTGTTCTTTTTCCAGCCATAACAGCAATCCAGCCTAGAACCATAGCGACACACTCCTGGCTGGCTCACAGTCACCAGCTGCCCACGAGCTCTTGAGCTGCATGAGGAAGGATGAAGATGAGCTCCAGCAGGCAAATACACTTTAGTCCATCCTGCCCTACAGTCCTTTGCGCATTTCCCTAGTGTTTTATCCACTGTCAAGCATTTTCATCTCACCAAACCTTGGAGCATTTAATAGCATTTCTTGACAAGATTGTGAAATTGCACTCAGTTGGAGAAAGGGGCAAAGGGAGCATCCCACCTGCAATAAATCAGCTGCACAACATAAATCTCTTCTAATGAGAAACATGGCAAAGGCAAAAAAGTAGGCCCAGGTCCCCTGCTAGAATGAGTCTTTTTTAATCTCAGTGAAGTCAGTGGGGCTATTCCAGCTTGCATCAGAAGGATCAATGATGCTGTTTTGCTCCAGATGACAAACTACTGATTCTACAGCAAAGCACCTTCCCAAACATCCAGTCAGCCCCGTAAATTCAGTGCCCTGCAGGCTCACAGCCAACGCATATGTGCTCCTTGATTACAGAAACGCAGAGAGTACTGTGTGCTCTGGCTGCACACAACTCCCTGCCCATACAGCCATTTTAGTCATTCCAGTACTTCAGTGTGGCCCAAAATTGCTCTTCAGATCAAGTGCTGCAATGTTAGCTGTCAAAATTATAAGTCTGATGGAAATATGCAGCAGCCTAAGGTGTAATCTATGCTGCAAGGTGTGTGATGATCCCAGTTTTCTTATCTCCCTGGTCGTTGATGCTTAACTTGTCCATACCACATGCATGTCCCCCTTATAAAATTCTCTTCTTTAACCCAAATCCTCTATCTCTGTTGCTTTTTCCAGGCAGTAACTCAAAACGTACTTTCTTCAGAGTCCAAAGTGCTGTTTCTGACACAGTAAATACCTTTTCTGTGAGGGTTTCGCATCAAGTGATTTGGGGGTGCTGAGAGGGCAATATATAGCAACACCATGTCCCACAGTAAACAAAAAATCAACAATCCAGGAATTTTTGCATTTTTTTTTTAGTCTAATGCACAGTGATGGTATTGCTGGTGATAACACCTAACAGTAGAACTTCACACATATCCTCCTGCACTTATCTGTAAGAGTTGCACTCTTATTGGGAGAGGTACTGCAAACATCATTAATGCAAACTATTAAAAATAGTGAATATATACACACACTTCAAGCCACACAGCCTTCGCGATTAGCCCCATGGTTACATGACTACCTATAACCCATTTTGAGGCAGGAGAAAAGGTGTATGTAAAAGCTACAACTCCTCTAGATATACTGACAGTAAAAGAATCCTTTTTCTTTTTATTCGTCCAAACGCTGCTGGTTTACATCACTTGTGAGTATGCAAGTTAACTATCATGTTCTGCTTACAGGCTAGAAAGCTTCCCTGAACTTTATCTGTAATAGTAAAAGTGTTCTGCTTTCATTTCCAAGCCACCTCTGAATTCAAGTGGATAGTGCTTTTACTCCTCTGGAAGGTTAAACTGCCTGAAGCTTAGAGGAAATTGGATCTTATTACTTTCCAGAAGATGCTCATTTCCACAGGAAGACAGACTCACTCAGGAACTTTTTATTTAATAATTCAGTTCAGAAGCAGATAAATAAAAACGCCTTTCCAAAGTATATAATATCCACAGAACTTCAATATGAACTTCTGTTAAAACTGGGAAATCTTCCATAATACTGCAAACAAAAAAAAATGCAGCTGAACTTTATTAGATACGGCTCTGGACAAGGCCTTTGACTTGCTCCAACTTCCACAAAAAGCACCAAGTTAAAGCCAGCCTTTGGCAGTGGGAAAGGTAAACTGAATCACCCAGATCTCAAAAATCTGTGAGCAAAAACAGTTTTGCCAAGTTAGCTCATCCATAAAAAAATATCACTCATCAGTTCAGCTATTGCTGTCAGGAGTTCAGCATTTTGTACAAATGAAAGAAATAGATCCTGGTAGCGAGAACATCACTTTGACTTTTCCAGACATCGTTGGGAGAAGTAATACAAACCAGAGATGTCCGATCCCTTCCTAAATGATATTGCTGTATGATTTCATAAGGAGCACTGAGAGGTCTAAATGAGATAGCTGTGCTTGGCACTGTCCACTTGATGTAAGAACAATGCCTGGCCTTGAATAACTTGCAGTTTAAATATGTGAGTGAAGATAAAATGTACAGATCATCTGGCAAAATCAGTCTCCACATCTCTGCTGAAGTATTCTGTCCTCAGACTCAGTAATGTACAGCACTGGGACAATTTGGCCATACAGAAGGCCAAAACTGCAGCAAACTGGTATTATGGGACTGTGACTTTGCTGACACTAGTAAGATGGCATCTAGTAAAGTACATTCAAGATGGATTATAAGAACTTTTACAGTTAGGGCCTCACTAGTTGAGGTGACAGAAAAGGAGCTGGCCATTTTGTCTAGCAGAATATCACTGTGAGCCACTAGCACAGCTCTAAGAAGAGAGATGGGAATCTTAGGTATATCAGATGACATTCCAGTAGCGATAGAAAAGTTTAACTGCTGCTTTATCAGGTTATATTATGTATACTTCTTTACATTCATGTCCAAGAAATGTGAGTTACATATGGTGTGCATGGTGATAAAAGCTACAAAGAATGAAAACTTCAGAGGAGATAAGAAGAACTTGGCTTCAGTTGAACATTCCAAAAGCTTAGACAGGATCTGACAGCTTCCTTCCAAGCACTGAGCATTGTGTGCCTGGAGGTGCTCAAGAAACATGTAGATGCGGCACTGAGGGACATGGTTAGTGAGGCTGAGTTGGGTTGGACTTCATGATCTTGGAGGTTTTTTCCAACCTATGATTCTATGGTTCAGAAAGTTTATTTGCTCCACAGATCAGGATGCTAACAGCAACTCTGATCTAGTAACAGCAGACAAGGAAAAGGCTGAGGTACTCAGTAACTTTTTTGCTTCAGTCTTCACTAGCAAATAGGGTTGTGAAGAAACAGGTTTCCCAGAGAGGTGGTGGATGTCTGGTCCCTGGAGACATTCAATGTCAGACTGGATGGGGCTCTGAGCACCCTGATCCAGCTCTAGAGAGAGCTAGCTCCTTCTTCACTGCAGGGAGTTGTACCAGATAACCTTTGGTGGTCCCTTCTAACACCAGCCATTCCATGATTCTGTGATTCTAACGTCAGTTGATCTGGATTAGTTGATACACTGGGACTAATCTCCTCAATATTGTGGTGAGACACTGAACAGGTTGCCCAGAGAGGTTGTGAATGCCCTCTCCCTGGAAGAATTCAAGGCCAGGCTGGATGGGGCTTTGAGCAACCTGGTCTAGTGGGAGGTGTCCCTGCCTATAGCAGGGGGTTGGAATTAGGTGATTTTAAAGGTCCCTTCCAACCCAAAACATTCTATTATTCTATGATAGTAACTGGGCTAATAGCTGTGTTGGACTCTAATTCTCATTAGCAGCTATTATAATAATAACAATTAAAGTAAATGGAAGTAAAAATCTCAAAAATGGAAAAAGTTTCTTGTCATGTTTTCCTGACCAGCATTAATGAGGGATCTATTCCATCTGAACAAAATTATATGGCAGCAACAGCTGCAGATGAAAAGAGAGCAAGTCTTTAAAACACTGATATGTCAGTTGTGATTTGAGCTAAAATAGAGTTGTTTGTTTTCAGCCATTATTAATCTTGTCTTTTACTAACATTTTCTGTGGAGAGGAACATTTATGAGCTTTTACTTTTCTTTTTTTTTTTCTCTCCAAGACATCTGCTGAATAGATTTAGTGTACTATTTCCATAAGATCTCTACAGGATACTTTTTTCCAGCTCTTGCACACACAATAGTTGCCCACTGTTGATGGGAAAAAAAGTCTGTTATATTATTAGCAGTTTCCAGTTAACTTTAAAGACAGGATATTACCCATTTCTTTAATTTTGCTTCTAAAAGATTCTGAATATTGCTGCTAGCGAACAATTAGCATCAAACCTAACATTTTGACCAGTAAGTTTATTCAGGACCAAAAGATGTTCTCCTACAAGTTAGGAATTTGTAAAAAATTCTTAAAAACTCTCTTATGAGTTCACATCATACATTCTGCCAGATGACAGAACATTTTGTTTGCTTGTTTTGTTTGTTTTTATTATTTTTTTTTTAAGGGTGACTTCCTTCTAGAATAAAAAGTTTGCCAACAGTTTCTTTTTTTAAGTAAAACTAAAATGCACCCTATTATCTTTTAATGGCTACCTTTGAAATCCCTTTGGGCAGTTTCAGGCACTCCACATGACATTTCTGGGAGTCCCTCCCAAAGTATAAAAAAAAAAACAAACGCTCAGCTTAGGCTCACAGAAGTTCCCGTAAGTCTTCATGTGATCACCACATTCCTTAAAGGAAGTGCTCAAAGCAGGAAAGTGAATACTCCAGATGTGAAAGGCACTCTTCTAAGAAACAGAAATAAGCATAATTAATTCATTTTTTTCCAAACCGATTCTAATTTCTACTATTTCCTGTTCCTTCTTCCTAGCTATTCAGAGTGAATATAATTTCTTTGTTCACTTATATTAGAATCTTCTGTCATCCAAGACTTCTATCAAGATGTTTCAAATACTCTCTCTTTCCCCTTCCTTCCAGTACAAAACGGGGAATGATAATCTTAGTAGAAGATGCAGGTATCTGCCCAGAGAGGTTGCAAAGTTTCCTGTTCTGGATATACGCAAGATCTGATGCTTTTTCCTTTGTGATAGACAGTAAAGAACAAGCTTTAGCAGGGAGCTGGACTTGATGATCTCCAGAAGTCCCTTCCAACTCTTTCAGTTTTGTGATTCTATGATCACACAGCACCACCGTGGCCAAAACAGGCTGTGGAGCAAACTTACACAGGGTTTCCTGTAGGATTTTCCAACTTAGTGTAAAAAGCTTATGTTTTCTTACAATAGAAGACACAGCATTTGTTTTGCAGTTTTACATGTTCCAGTATGTTTGAAATGCAAATACACAACATCTCAAGAAATAATCAACGTGAACATTTGAGAGTTTTCACCGTAAGGAGCAAACGTACTTTCTACAGAAGCAGGTTTGGAATTCCTGAAGAGTGGACAACTTGCTGGCCTCAAAGATGCTAGAACAGCACATTTCCGCTTGATTATAAACCTCGATGCTAAGCAAAGAAGCCACACAGCATCCTGAAGACTGCTGCTGTAGTTGCTGTCAATCCTCCTCTCACTGGCTGCTTATTCGCTGTTGTATTTGTGGGTTTTTATTTGGTTTATCTACACTGCAAGGTGAAAGTTTGGAACAGCTTCATCAGGAGTAGAGTTTTATACATCCCTTCTCACTGAACCACAGAACCATGGCAAATCCCGAGTTGGAAGGGACCTACAAGGACCACAGAGTCCAACCCGTGGCTCCAAACAGCACCACCCAAAATCAAACCCTGTGTCTGAGAGCATCAATCCCAGCACTCGGGGCCGTGCCCACTGCCCTGGGCAGGCCGTTCCCCGCCCGCCGCCCTGTGGTGCAGACCCTTTCCCTGACCTCCAGCTGCCCCTCCCCTGTCGCAGCTCCATGCCGAAATGCTATTCTACTTCTGGCGCGTGCCTGTCACCGCGGAATACAACAAACACCTGCCCTGTCAGCCTTGTCAAGTACCTACTTACACAAGCAAAGCAAAGACTTGAACAGCTCACACCTTTCTACACTTGGTGTAATTGTCTCTATCCTCAAGAGCGTCTTGAAACTATCACTTCTCCCGAAGGAAGAGACACAACTTTGATGTCACCGTGCCTTCACCGTGCCCGGAGCTCCCGATCCGACCCCCGCGGGGCCGCCAGCTCCTCGCCGAGCCCCTTCCGCCCCCGCACCCCGCGCCGGCCGGTCACCCGTCCCCGCTCACCTGCCCGCGGCGGCCAGCGCTGCGGCGAGGAAGGCGGCGAGCAGGGTTCCCCCGGGCGCCGGCACCATGGCCCGGCCGCGGCCGGTGAGGCGGCAGACGCGGCGGGCGAAGGCTCTGCTAGCGGTAAGGCGGCGGGCGGCGAGCCGGAGCCGATCAACCTGGCGTGGAGGGGCGGTCCCGCCTCCGCTTTGGCGCGGCCCACACGGCCCGGGACGGGGCGGGCGGCGACCCCCGGGCGGGACGAGGGGAGCCGGGGGAAGGAGGAGGCCGGGGAGCGGCCCTGGGACGGGCGCGGAGCTGCGGGCGTGTGCCTTCGGTTAAATCCTTCCAACCCGTGTGTTCCGTAGGATAATCCTTGCATTTGCAGGGTGCTGGGTTTCAGATGAGATAGAACTTATTTTTATTCCCCCCCCCCCCCCATATTAATAGTATCCCTCGATGCTTTCCTTGTACTATAAAAGCATTCAGCAGGAGGAGATGTTTTTTGTGATAGCAAAACGTTCACACTAATCTACTTGCTAAACACTTTCTGACGGTCAAGAATATTGTGTCAAAATATCGTGTCATTGAAGACCTGGAGTGTGTCTACAGAAGGGCAACAGAGCTGTGAGGGGTCTGCAGCACAAGTGTTATAGCGAGTGGCTAAGGAAACTGAGATTGTTCAGTCTGGATAAGAGGAGACTCAGAGGAGCCCTTATCACTCTCTAAGGCTCCATGAAAGGAGGCTATGGTGAGCCGGGGGTAAGCCTTTTCTCCCAAGTAGCAGTGATAGGATGAGATGGAATGGCCTCAAGTTACACCAGGGGAGGTTCAATTTGGATATTAGGAAAACTTTATTCCCTGAGAGAGTGGTGAGGCACAAGCTGCCCAGAGACATGGTAGTCTCACCATCCATGGGGTTTTCAAGAAATGAGTAGATGTGGCACTGAGGGACATGGTTAGTGGGCATGGTGTAATGGGTTGGTGGTTGGACTAGATATTAGAGATCTTTTCCAACCTTAAGGATTCTATGATTCTGAAGTATTGATGCCAGTCCCAATTTCCAAAAGTACTAAAAACAATTTTCCAAATCCTGAGGTTTGGATAATTGTTCCTTCTGAAAGCAACACCTCAGCAGAGGTAAAGCTGTGGAGTGAGTGACTTATCAGGTATCACCCAGGAAATTGTGACAAATGCAGGGAAACAAAACAGCTCCTCTAGCCTAGTCACGTGGGTTATCCTATTCAGTTCTGAGGATATCAACATGCACTCCTCTGCAGATGAAGCTGGGATGGTTGACACAGTGCTGCCAGCTGTCTTCTGTCCCAGGGATTACCTGGAATGCTGAAGGAGAGTATTAAAGGGTAGATGTGGTGCCAAGGGACATGTTTTAGAGGGCATGGTGGTGATGGGTGGATGGTCGGACTAGATTATCTTAGTGGTCTTTTCCAACTTTAATAACTGTATGACTTGTAAGCTAGCAATTTAGTTTTTTAAGCACAAGTCTTTGGCCACCTTTTTCTTCTATCATCCTTACCATGGGATTATCAAGAAAGGGGATAACAACTCTTTGCCAGAATTTTAGAATCTAGAATCTCTTTCTAGAATCATAGAATCCTTAGACTTAAAAGGGACTTTCAAAGGTCATCATTTAGTCCAACTCCCCTGCAATGAACAGGGACACCACAGCTAGTCTGCCCAGGGCTTGATCCCGCCTCTCTTTGAAAGTCTCCAGGGACAAGGTATCAATCACATCTTTAGGCAACTTGTTCCAGTGCTTGAATGATCCAAAATGACATTTTCCCATATTGCCCATCCACTACTGGTTTTGAGTGTGTGTCAAACTGTCAACTACCATGGATTTCTTCAGACTCCTGAAAGTACACATGTCCTCCCTGAAGGAATTTAGATCGTTTTAGAGAGTGGAGCAGTAGAAAGCTGGAACTACTGAAAGAAGGGATTCAAAATATTTGTAATTAAAAAACAAACAATCAAACACAAAAACACTAAACCCAACAACCAAACAATAATGTATGCTATGTTGATCATATGCTGTAAAGGATGGCCCAGGCATTTCTTCCTCTGGCTGCTGGGCAGAAAAGCCATTCTTCAGCTATTCTGCTGACTTTCTGAAACACTGTAGTACCTTTAGACTTCTCTTCATTAGATTTGCCTTCCTGTATTTTAGTTAAATCAGCATTCCGATTCTTACGTCTGTATTCAAAGACACATGGTTTTCATTATGCACATTTATTCCAAATGGATATGAATGTGTTGTTTGATGCTGGACTTGCCATTCAAGAATTCTTGGTACTCAAGGCAAGTTTTACTGCTCAGAAGAAAGTTCAGTTATGTACATTATTACTTGTATTCTGTTAAGAGCTATAATTATCTCCTTAACATCTTTCTTTTTCACAAAGAGTGACTTTGGATAGATAATAAAACGATGAACTGAAGCTGTGTTTAGAATAATAATTGCAGAAGAAAATAGAACAATGTATTTCATAAAGAATGTTTGTATTTGCTGGGTTATTCAGATATATAATTGGCACGGGCTGCCCAGGGAGGTGGTGGAGTCACCGTCACCGGAGGTGTTCAAGAAATGTGTAGATGTGGCCCTGAGGGTCATGATTATTAGGTGTGTGATGGGTTGGTGATTAAACTAGATGAACTTAGAGGCATTTAATGATTCAATGATTTTATGATTCTATGTCTGTATTCTTTAGCCTTTGCAGTCTGCAAAATTCTGAGCTTTCCCAAGATTCATTGTCACGTGGCATTTTGCTGTATGAGAAGTCCTCATCATAGGTCATGATCCATTCCTGAAAAGAGGGAACAGAGTGAAATAGGCCATGGATACTATTCACATTTAAATTCTTTTTGCCTTAATGATTAAAAAATGTGCAAGCATTTTTGCCACAGAAGATGTCAAGTCTCCAACTGCACTTGCACTTGCTCCTGGCACAGCCTCCACATTCAGCTTCTATTCAGATGAAGATCCAGAGCTTGCTATAGAAATCACGTGTATACATATATATATATATATATATAAAACTATAATAGCCATTCTGATTATGTATTTTTATAGGTTACTGCTATTTCCATTTGTTTTGCCAAGTAACTTCAGATCAAATCATTGCAGAGTTCTTGTGCAGTGTAATGAATAAACTGAATAGACAGAAAATAGAGGAAATCATTCATTTCTTGTTGACGTGTCTTTACAAACACAAAAGTCATGAATGGAATTTCTGAAATGGATTAGAATCACGACTATGAAATGATTCGCGAATTGTTTTTTTATTTTGCCTGTTTAAGTCTCAGAAATAATTAGTATTGCTGGAGGCTATCTGGATTATAAAAATTAATATGTGAATGCTGAAATTCTTGTACTCGTTTAACTAAGATCTGAGGCCTTTAGGAAAACAGTAAAAAAACCAGAGATTTATGTGACCTGGTAATGCTGCTTCACTGACACTGTGTGTTTGAGGAAAAGCTGATAGACAGGTAGAGCACAAGTATAAACAAATCTCTGCTGCTAGTAATATTTAGTTGGAACTACTTCAACCTTCTTTTCTGGGTGAAATCATGAAATATCCTCAATAGCGGAGTGTTTGTGCTATTCTGATATTTGATAACATTTCTCGTGATTGTATGATAGTTAAATTCAACACAGTAGTTCATGGGGCAACACCTGCTGACTTTTGTGAAGCAGAGGATATGAATCTATTGGTACAGTCACCATGAATCTCAGATAACCCTAAGAAGGGATCAGTGCATTTAGTTAATTCTGGTTTCTATGAGGGAATCTTTATTTCTGGTCAAAATAGTGGATGACATAAAAGCTTAGTGTTTAAGAAGCGCTTTGCATTTTGTTATATTTAAATAATTAAAGATCATGCATTCAAGATGGTGGGTGGCTTGATACAACAATAACAATGTACTGTTGAAAAGACATAATTGGGTAGTAGTATACTTTTCTAAACATTTAAGTAAGAGGTTTCACATGTTAGATGTACATACCACAGTATGGATTTCCAAGTGGGGTTAGAAAGGTATTTGGCAGAAGTGGCTGAACTGGAGGATATACATAGATGCATATTTGATGGCTTATGCAAGAGAACCCGAAGAAGAATTCAGTGAAAGCTGAGAAATATTTTGCAAGAGAAGGAAAGGAAGACAATAAAAATAAAAATGTGCATGGAAATGTCTAGTCAGTGTTTTCTTTTCTCTGGTACAAAAGTTATTCACTGGTTTGGTTGCATTAGGTGTGCTTTTGGAGTACATGTTAACATTTCAGCTAAAACCCATGGAGTCTATTTCACAAGGTTTGTGTGAACCCAAGTATTCTAATTACACTCAGTCAGGAGATTTACTTTAAAAGTGCAGTTTTGCTTTAAAGAAAATGCAGACCTCGACACACTGTCTTTGCATTATGCGCTATGGACAGTACTGATATATATAACAAATAACTTGCTTTTTGAAGAACATCTTTCCAATGGAACTCCTCAGTTGTTTTTTTAACCTGGCTCTCTACCCTTATCTTTTTGTGACTCCTATTGTAAACTATTTCCTATTCTCTAGACTTTCATTTTTTTATGCTCAGAAAGTTATCTATCATTGTATTTCTGAAAAACAGAAAACAAATGAACAAAAAAACTCCCAAACCCCAGAACTCCTTACTGATCTCTTTTCCTAAATGAACCATATTGTGAATTTCCATGTGTGTGGAAATTGTATTTTAGTTCTGGAAAGCCTGTAAATGAACCCTGTAGTCTATTTCCACTGTGTCTTTCAGAAAATGAAGAGTACACCGTTGGTTTTTCTGGGTGACAAGTAACTTGGTATCTTGCTTTGGTTGCTTCCTTTGTCAGTCTACATAACCTTGATATAGCTTTCATTGTTAGTGATCAATCAACATGATTTATGCTTCTGATCACTATACTTACAATATTAATATCCCACTAAAATGCTTGTAATTTTTTCCTTTTTTTTTTTTTTTTTGTTTTGTTTGTTTGTTTTTTGTTTTTCCTTGCTGATATCACTGAAGCCATCCCAAACATCTGGTCAAAAGATGACTGCAAGATGATTTTGCTGCATTTCTCAGACTGGTGCTCAGTTCTTTGTTCCTATTTCTTGTAGGCAGAACAGAAGACAATGTCTGATACATGCTTTCTCCTTCTGGTAAGACTAAGCAA